TTGTTTGATTTTGTGTCATAACTTATCTTATTCAATCACGGTGATTTTGGTGTCATTCGACTCAGCTCGACGAGCTCTTTCGAATGAGGTATAATTTGCATATTCGAATTTTTTACCCCCAAAAAAGTGCTTGGTCCCCCCTATGGTTTTTCGATTTTTGGGGACCCATATCTCGGTTCATAGTTGAGTCCGCGGGCTAATTTTGGTGTCATTCGACTCAGCTTGATGAGCTCTTTCGATTGACATATAAATTGTTCAAATCTAAAATCGCCCGGTAAAGTGCACTTAGGCCCTTTTTTTTCGCAGGGACCTTAATTCTCCGGGATTGCCAATTTTATTTTTCATAATATTTTATTTAAAGAATTTAATTTTGAACTGGGAATTTTCTTCTTTATCTTCAAAAAAGGTACCGGAAAAGCAATCAAAATTCTTCGGCTTCGTTCTCTGTCCTATTTATTTTTGGATTTTAATCTAGTCAATTTAAAGGTTTTTTTAAATTTAAATTAAAAGTAATTTCATTTAGCTTAAGCTGGAGATTATCACTTTCAACAACATCAAAAAACAAGTAATACAACAAATATTATGTCAAATAGAGGCGCCACTGGCGCTGGCACAAACAAATCACGGGCGCTGGTAAATAGTGGTATTACAGGCAGAAGTACCACCGCCCAGGTGGCGGGTGGGAATAAAGGAAACGGTTTATTCTTTTATTTTTTCTATCATTTAATTTATTTAAAATTTAGACAATAAACATGGAGCAACAATTGGAACAAAAAATATTGTTAGGCGAATGCCTCCACCTGCAACTTTACCTTCCTTAAAATCCGAACATGGTCAAGATCCAAGTATAGTTATTGTGCCACAAGGAGGAACAGGATGGAATTCAAAATCTACAACGCCCATTGTAGGGGCATCAGAAGGCAACACTGGACAATCTTCATTAGAAAAGATTGCAAAAGTATCTTTAATCTTTTAACTTTATAAAATAAAATCAAAAATGGGCACAAAATAAATGTAATTTCTGTAAGAATTTTCCAAAATTTTTTAATTTTAACCAGAATGTCTCTTTGGACTCGAGAATCTCTTCATTCAGTTCTGCAAATGCTGCAGGAGCTGGCCACGATCTTCGTCCCACTTGGGCAAAATCGGCTTCAGGCCACACCACAGCTACTTCTTGTCCATCTTCTCAATTTGCCACTCCAACAGAATCTGCCCCAAGAGTGATTACAAAGCAGAATGTGAACCAGGACCTAGCTGTTCAACAACAGAGATGCTCCAGCGAACGAGATTTTCCGTCGTTGGAGACTGCAGCAAATGCCAAATTTCAAGGAGTAAGAATCATTCTAACAATAAGGAATAAAATTATTTTTATTTATTAGGATGGAAAAAAGAGTCCAGAGACGGACGTCTTATCAGCTTCTATCCCTTTGATTCGTCAACCAAAACCGACAGGCTACATTGGCGCATCTGCTCCAAAGCCGAATGCTGCTCGCAAATTACCCGATCGTTATTGTGGTGGTGGCCAATCTGCTGTTTCGAATTCTTCACAGAAATACGACATTCTACAGCGTATTTCAAAACTTTCATTAGAAAAGGAGCAAATAAAGAAAGATTCCTCTTCGCAGCAACAAATACAGAACGGTACTTTCATAAGAATGTTTAACCTAATATCACCCATTTTAGAATCCTTAGAGGCTGTCGACGACAATTTACCTACCCAACAATCTGTAAAAGAAGAGGCCACAAATATTTCAGAAGAGACGAGCGAGGTTGCCGCAACCGATGTTCAGTCAGGGATTGTTCCCTCAACTACTGTTCAACGACAAGTTCAAAATTCACCACAGCAACTAATAACTTCGACTGCATTTCATCAATCGACAGAGGCAGAACTTGTCGGAGATCTTCAAAATTTACAACAATTTTCAATTTCTCTAAATGCGCCGCCTCCTACTTTAGAACATCAGCATTTACAGCAGATGCAACAAACATTCCAAATGCCCCCACATGTTTCATCGATTCTAGGACATCCCAAACAAAATTGCACACAACTACAAATTTTGAAGAAAATGGATCAACGTCAAGATCAACAAGGAATATATCAGATTCCGCAATCCCATCAATTGGAAGGTACATTTTATATCGAACATATAATTTTACTTTTTTACTCACCTCTTTTTTCCTGTTTCCTTGTCCATTTTGAGTTTCTTATTTTTTGCTTGATATAATTTATATGTCATTCAAAAAGAGCTCTTTCAGACTCGAAGGAGTATTACCTAAAATTGTATAGTACCCATTTTTATTATTTTACAAAACTAAATACAATTTCAGCACCTTTTCATATGAATATGAATGTCAACAGTCAATCTGCTCCTGTTCCAAATACTACGATTCCCCTTCATTTCAACCAACCTCCTCCGCAAATCCCACCACAAAATATGCAAAATTTCCACCAGCAGCAACAACAGAGACCACCAACCGGACATGTAGCTGTTTCACATTTCGAACAACATCAGCAAAGAGACGTTGTGAGTGTTGGTGTTTGGGGTGAAAATCCTCAGACAATGACCCGTAATGACGAACACAGTCATTTTGTTCAACGCCAACAGCAAACATCTCAACAAAGTTGTGAAAACAGTGGACGAGTTATTGAATCCTTTGGAGGAGTTAGTGGGGAATTGGAACATAGTCAAACGATTGGAAGATGGTATTTTTTCTTTTTTTGATTTTTACTTTCTTTTTTTAATATTAAAAGGTTCCAACCTCCAACATCCCAGCCATCGTATAATCAATTTGGTGTTCAACAAAATGTTCAACAAAATAGCACTACCGGATTTCGAAATGGCGATTGTCCACCATCTTTACTCTCACTTGATTTTAAAGGATCATTTAATGATTATGACCAGGATGTTATCGGGTTCCGTCATCCTACCAACAAAAATATGCAGTTTGGTTTGTCCGAGTCACAACGAAATGGTTCAATCTTTTTTTATTTTTTTTATAAATTTTTTAAATTTAGAACAACCAAATCGTGTTATTGAAAACTCTTCATATGCAAATCGTCAGAACAGAAACGTTGAACATCCTCGTATTCAGTTGTTTAAACATACGAGTGAATCTTTACATGAATCTGAGGAAGCTGTTTCTCCTTTTCAAAAATATTTTGAGCCTATTGACAGCGATTTAAAACAAAATGACAGAGCTCCTGCTGCTCATGGCAAAAGAGGCACAAAAGTAGATGATCGACAAATTCGAGATAACCGCAGAAAGAAGTATTTATTATATTCAACGTTTTATCTTAAATTTTATTCTTATAGTTCAAGAGCAAAGCAAAAAGGTTCAAAAACATCAAATTCAACTTCTAGTACGCATTCTGATACTAATACTTCGACTCGACAACCTTCCCATTTTCAACAAGTTTTTTATAATTCGGGGAAAACGAAACAAAAAGGATCTAAAACCTCGACTTATAACAAATCAAGACAACAACCGTCACACAATATTAGCGATTCCATTTCAAAAGGTGATGGGCGCAAATTATCTGATCGATATCTCGGTGGCGACCAATCTAATGTTTCGAATTCTTCGCAGAAATATGACAACCTACAGCTTACTGCAAACCTTTCAGTAGAAAGTGACCAAGCAAAGAAATCTTCCCCTCCACATCAACAATTACAAACCAGTATTTTAAAATTTTTTAATTTTTTAAATCGTCAATTTAAGAATCATTCGAAACTGCTGATGATTGTTTCAGAAAGCAACAGGTTGTAAAAGACGAACCTGTAGTTTCAGGATTGGTCGGTGATGTTACTCCTGCTGGTTTTCAGTCTGAAATATGTCCTTCAACTACTGTTCAGCAGCAACAACAACAAGAGGTTTATCAAAATTTAGCACAACTACAACAACCAATAACTTCTGTTGCATTTCATCAATCGGCTCAGTCAGTTATTGTCGGAGGATTTCAGCAACCGCAACAATATACAATTCCTCCTCTAAGTGCACCGCCGCCTGCTTTGGAGCATCACTATTTACAACAGATACAGCAAACATTCCAATTGCCCCCACACAATCATCAAGTTTCTGCTGCTCTAGGCCAACCACAGCAATATTGTCCGCAACCTCAAATTTATCAGATTCCACCATCAATGCAAATGGAAAGTATGTTTGAAAATATTATTTTTATTAATTTTTTTTTCTTTTTAAATCCTTTGATGAATTTAATTTTAGCACCTTTTCATATGAATATGAATGTCAACAGTCAATCTGCTCCTGTTCCAAATACTACGATTCCCCTTCATTTCAACCAGCCTCCTCCACAAATTCCGCCACTAAATATGCCAAATTTCCACCAGCAGCAACAACAAAGACCACCAAGCGGACATGTACCTGTTTCGCATTTCGAACAACATCAGCAGAGAGATGTTGTGAGCGTTGGTGTTTGGGGTGAAAATCCTCAGCCGATAGCTCGTAATGACGAACACAGTCATTTTGTTCAACGACAACAGCAAACATCTCAACAAAGTTGTGAAAACAGTGGACGAGTTATTGAATCCTTTGGAGGAGCTAGTGGGGAATTGGAACATAGTCAAACGATTGGAAGATGGTAATTTTTATTTATTGATTATTACTTCCCTTTTTTAATATTAAAAGGTTTCAACCTCCAACATCCCAGCCATCGTATAATCAATTTGGTGTTCAACAAAATGTTCAACAAAATAGCACTACCGGATTTCGGAATGGCGATTGTCCACCATCTTTACTCTCACTTGATTTTAAAGGATCATTTAATGATTATGACCAGGATGTTATTGGTTTCCGTCATCCTACTAACAAAAATATGCAGTTTGGTTCGTCCGAGACACAACGAAATGGTTAAATCTTTTTATTTTTTAAATAAATTTTTTAAAATTTAGAACAACCAAATCGTGTTATTGAAAACTCTTCATATGCAAATCGTCAGAACAGAAACGTTGAGCATCCTCGTATTCAGTTGTTTAAACATACGAGTGAATCTTTACATGAATCGGAGGAAGCCGTTTCTCCTTTTCAAAAATATTTTGAGCCTATTGACAGTGATTTAAAACAAAATGACAGAGCTCCTGCTGCTGCTCATGGCAAAAGAGGCAAAAAAGTAGATGATCGTCAAATTCGGGAATACTTAAATCGCAAAAAACCGTAATTTAAATTAATTTTCTTTTCAATTTCAATTTTTCAAGTACTGGAAAACCAAAGCAAAAGGGATCAAAAGCTTCAAATTCTACTTCTAGCACCCATTCGGAAACTACCACTTCAACATCTCGACAAGCTCCTCCTTTTCAACAACTTCCTGCCCCGCCTCCCACTTTCAATATTTGGGCAAATCTCTTTTAAGAAAAATACTATTTAAATTTTAAAAAAACATAAATAAGTAAATATATGTATTTGTTTATTATATTTTGACAGATTGTCAATATTTCATCCCTCTTACAATTTTTCATGCAGCATTTTATTGTTGCGCAATATATAAATGGGATTTTTGAATAAATTTTCTGACTCTTAATATTTAATTTCTCAATAAATTTGATTAAAATTCATTCAATTTACTTAATGATAAAATTCTTCCGTTCTTTACTTTTAATTTTATGAGATAATTTATATGCTATTATGTATTTATAAGGCTATTGGAAGATATTTTTATAATTTTATTTCCCAACCTTTTCCAAAGGCTGAATTAATGTTTTCGAGTGTAACAAAGGTTTTTAAATAACATTATTGAGATATTCTTTTAAATATTAGTCTGGTGTAATTACTTGCAAGCTTGAGTGGAAGATATTAGATTTTTGGGACCTTACACAATTAATGAACGAGGATCAGTGCTTAACGAGTTAGTTTATAATTTTTCCTATAAAATAGTCTTTAAGGCAAACAATTATGTGATCCAAAATTTCCCTCAGCGGTGATTGAGTTACGTATTTATCCAAATGGTCGTGTTCATCATTATGATGGTATTTTGGCAATCCAGGAGAATTGGGGTTTCTTCGAAAAAAATTTTTAAAAATCAGAAAATGGATTTTTCTAGGGTAAAAAAATATGATGATTACGAATATGAGCTCGGATTTTGAAAAAGTCGAATCCCGAACCCGAAGTCGGACATACGACATTTTGGGAAAAATTTCACAGAGCGCAAATGGGTCAAATAATAGCTCATTCGAAAGAGCTTGACGAGCAGAGTCGAATGACACCAAAATCACCGTGAATGAACAAGAACAGACAAAGTTACAACACAAAAAACATTGGTTTACGTTGTTTGTTTTTTGTGTCGTAACTTCGCCAGATCTTTTTCAATCACGGTGATTTTGGTGTCATTCGACTCAGCTCGTCGAGCTCTTTCGAATGAGCTATTATTTGCATATTCGAATTTTTCACCCCAGAATCAGCTTGGTCCCCCCTATGGTTTTTCGATTTTGTAGGACCTATATTCGGGTCCGAGTACGACTTTTTCAAAATCCGAGCTCATATTCGTAATCAGCACATTTTTTTACTTTAGAAAAATCCATTTTCTGATTTTTAAAAATTTTTTTCGAAGAAACCCCAATTCTCCTGGATTGCCGGTATTTTAGATTAAAATTATTTAATAATGAATTTTTACATGTATCTATTTATCGGTCATCAATGTTGGTCGTGAGGCTATCCGAAAGGCAAAACTTAGTATTGATACTTTTGTGGATTGTAAAAGCGAAAATATTTTCTCGTAAATTTTAAATCTTTAAGCGACTATTTGTATTTTAAGCCATTCATTTGATGTGCAAGGGAGAACTGAATCTCTAAAACGTGATATTAATATACAACCTCATCATCTTAGTGCTGATGGTAGTTTTAATTAAAATTCCTTAAAAATATTTTGAGGCTCCCTTATGCTTTATTGTGAAGTTAAATTTTTGCCTTATTCTGATAACAAAAAACCCGACAATAATGAATTTAAAAGTAATCATTCAGCACTTAATAATACCTCACAAAAATTACTTAATAATATGCTTGAACAAGGAACACTTTCTGATTGTTTAATTAAAGTAAATTAATTTACAAAATAATTTTTAATTAAAATTTTAGATTGGAAAAGAAACCATAAACGTTCATCGATGCATTTTGGCACAAAATAGTAAAGTATTCCTTAGAATGTTTGAACAAAAGGATATGACTGAAGCACAAAATGTAAGCTTTCAAGTGTTAAATAAATATTCAATTTTATTTTTTAAGGGTGAAATAAAAATTGTCGATTCTTCTCCCGAATGTTTTCGTGCTATGATTGAATATTTCTACAATGGTGAAATTAACAAAAGTATTTATTTTTTTAAGTTTAAAATTTTTTAAATTTAAATTCAGATACTTTTGAAAAACTTGTTGATGATTTATTTGTTATTTCTCACAAATATGAAGTTTTAAAATTGATGGATAAATGTGAAAATTTTATGGCCTTAAATATTGGTAAGAAAGAATATTTATTGTTTTACTTAATTTTATTTTCTTTATTTTTCTCCATAACGACGAATTAAGTAGGGTAGGTAGTTATTAATCGATACCTTCGGTCTTCGGTTACCTCCGGTTTTCGATATCCGGCCAGTTTCAGATTTTGACTTGCCTCCTGTTTTTGGTTAACCGTTTTTGGCTAAATTTTTCCTCCAGAACATTCCATTCATATTTTGTTTTGTAGAAATATTCTGGACATCGGACGAAAATTTTTGGATGGCCTTGAAGCCATAGTTTTTAGCTAATAAAGTTTTTTTTGTTTTTAAGATAATGCTAATTTTAGCAAACGTTGCCAATATGCCGAATTGTATAATCTTTCGTTACTCAAAAATGTAAAGTTTTAGATTATTTTCAAATTTTCTTTTATTTTTTAGGCGTGTATTAAATACATTTCTGTTAAGCGAGACAGCTTTTTAGTTAGTAATGAATGGAATGAATTTAAAGAAAATAACAGTGCATTGGCTGTTAACTTGCTTGAATCGGCTCTAAAACAAAAGTTTTTTTGAATGATTTTAAAAAATTCGAAATTCCTAAGTTCTCCTACAGCTGAACCCCGCTAATACGTTCCTGATACCCTGAAAATATACCAATTCAGTTGATACGTCAGCGCAATTCGGCCCTGAAGGTGACGTATTAGCGGGATTCCACTATATTTGTGTCATAAAGATTTTTTCATTTTATAGAACTATAATTCTGCTTATTTCGGCTACTTTCCTGCTCTTATTTTTTGTAGCTGGCTTTAAAAACCTAGAAACAATTCAATGTCTATTTTATTCTTTTTTTATTAAGGCATTTAATTTTTAACACGTTTATTTTTCAATTTATTAAATAAAAATTTTTCCAAATCCCCGGAATCTCTAAAATTAAAAAGTTCATAAATTAACACATTTATCAACATTTATTTTACAAAAAAATTACTGGGATAATAAGGGAGATAAAGAGTATATTTTTTATTTAACAGAGAAAAGAAAATGTTTATTTTAATTATTTACCCACAGAGAGAGATCGTTTCCTATTATATATCGCCTCGCAGAATTTAATTTATTTATACTTTTTGAGCAACTCCTTAGCTTCTTTCACATCCGAATCCTCTTCACAATCACTTGATTTAGTTTTCTCTCCAATCTAAAAATTTTTATTTTTTATGGATTTTAAATTAAGGAAATCCAAATCCTCCGGGGGTACTGAAAAATTCGGTTCTTTAACCAAACTACATCTAGCCCCATATTTCTTGAGATCCCATAGGAAAATAAATTAAAAACCTCGACAGCCATTTTCAGATATTTAATCGCCTCCTTCTTTTCATTCTTTGCCAAATAGCATTTACCCAAAAATAACAGATTCTCAACCCATTCAGGTTTCAATTTATATACGGCAAGAAAATCGTTGAGTGCCTCGTCATATGTTGCTTTTGGTGGATCAGAGAAAAGCGCCGCTGCAGCCTTCCTTTCAAACCATGAGAGACCAGCAACCGAGTAGGCAAAACGACCGCGCATGTAAAGAAGCTGAAAAATAAAAATATTTTAAACAAAAAAGTTGACAGAAATGAGGGCAAGGAGGTTAACTAGGATAATTTTAGATGATGAAATCTCGAAAAAAACAAAGGGAACGATTTTTAATTTAGTCGCCTAAAAACATTTTTGACTAATTCTCCAAAGGGGAAACTTGAAAAATTGGACCCAACACCAATTCAAAATTAATCCAAAGAAAATTACCGCATAATCCTTCGGGCTTTTTGCGAGCGCCTTATCGATTAATTCCTAAAATTTTTTAATTAAGATTTTAGATATAATTAAGAATACTTTGAACTTATGGCCTTGTTTAATCTTCTCTGCCGTTCCAAGAAAATCCGTCCTACCCCCAGTACAAGCAGCATACCATTTAATGACATCGAATTCCTCCGGTTCTTTTTCATAGGCAATACCAGCATGTTTATAACCTAAAATTTGAAAAATATTCTTTCAATCGGTTCAATATTTAAAAGTATAATAATTGGAAATACCCCAAATCGATTGAAAAGTGACAGGATTAAATGGACAAGTAAAAAAAAGTTTAGAAGTGCTAACATGTTTGTTTCCCATAAATTGAGCTTTTTTTAAATTAAAAATAGAGCTGGAGGTCCGGTCCAAAAGATCAAGTAGGGCATCGATTTCGGCCCGAAAGATTCGGTAGAGCTGGCCAGATAAAAATAAGGCCCGATAAAAAAGACTCGAACGTCGGCCTGACCTGACCCCAACCCTAATTAAAACCCAAACCTTCATCCATATATTCCTTCCTCTTTGCACTTTGATCATCGAACGAAGAGGCCAATTGGTAACAAACTCGAGAGAGTCGCCAAAGAATTTGAACTCCATTCTGGTCTCCAACTTCCTTATTCAACTTAAAATTTATTAATTAAATTAATCTAAAATATTAAAAAAATACTTTTACAAGTTCACCATAAAGTTCATCAGACAGACCATCCTCGTAGAGTTTGTCAAGACGCTCAAACTAAAATTAAATGAAAAATTATTTGGAATTTTGAATCGGAGGGGGGTAATTTGAATTTTTAAAAACATACCATTATTGATTTTTTATTTACAAAATATTTTAGAAAATTAAGGGAAAATATTTTAATTATTTTTAATTATTGATGAGACAAATATACTAACAATAAGTGAAAAATTCAATAGAAAGTTAGTATAAATTTAAGAAAAAAATATAGTTAATTGTATTTTATAAACATTAAAAGAAAAAAGTAATTCAAAAGGTTCCAGTATGAACGAAGGAAAGAAAATGACTGAAAATTCTAGAAAATTAAGTGATGAAGGGAGAATGAATAGAAGGAAAGTTATTGATAGAGCAGCTGACAATGAAAAAAAGAAAGAAAGTGTCACACAAAATACATATATTTTACCAATCAAATTTATATGCATTTTCTAATAAAATTATAATGGAATTTCTAAATTAAATTTAAAAAAATAATTTGAAGACCACCCCAAAAACTCAAGAATTAACGTGTTAGAAAGTTTGACCCTATCCCAAAAGAAGGGCGGAGTGCAAGGAAAAAAATGTAAAGGAAAGATGGAGACAGACGTACGATATCCAAAACACGGACGGACCCCTAAGGGTTTTGGGGCTAGTTATTACTAGATCCCAGGACCAGAATCTTCAAGATTAACAAATCGTAAAGGATCCGTTTGTGTTTTATCTATCCGAGTCCGTCCGTGTTTTGTCTGTCTGCCCGTCTCCATTTTTCCTTTCCTTGCAGGTAATGAAAAAAAAACTATTCCACCCTTCTTTTGGGATAGGGCCGAAAGTTTTTAATTATTAGGAAATGATCAATTTTAGTCAAAAAATTAACTCACACTAGGCGATTTATTGGCCATTCTTACTGTTGAACAATTATTTTCGGGTAGTTGATTCCTTGTTTCTGCTTCAACAAATCTTTAAATAAAATTAATTTTATTTTAAAAAATTAAAAGTCCCCCACCTATCAAAAGATTTACTTTCTATAGATCGATTCTCCTCCCAAGTTTGTTCGACAGCGTCTTGATATTCGCTGTCTGATACAGTGCTGGAAGCTTGGATTGCTTTTAAGGAACGCCGAATGGAACTTAGAGATGCTCTTAAAGAGAAGAAAAAAATATTTTAGAATTAAAGTTAAAGGAATTAAAAAATTAATTTGAAGTAAAAATGAAAAAGAAATGAACAATTAAAAATTATTTAAATAACAAACTTAATCTACAAAAGTGTCTAACCTATAAAATAAAAAATAGATCAGACAAGATAGAGACTATAAGTAATAATGAGAGAGTACAGACAAATAGTTTAATTATTTAACGGAGCAGTTCATCAGAGTCCCGGCTCAATTGAGTCCCGGCCCTATAACTCAAGTATGGGTTGATAATTCTTAATGTTTTTGGTACCGTTTGATAGAGCATTAGATGGACTACAAAATACCAAAAAATCAAAATTTTCGATTGATTGGGAAAAAAGTTATGATCTAAAAACTTTTACAAAAAAATCTGATTTTTCGGCACTATCGATCATAACTTTTTTACCAGTCGGTCAGAAATTTTGATTTTTTGGTATATTGTAGCTTATTTAATGCCCTATCCAATGGTACCAAGTGCAAAAAAATGACCATCCCTTCATAAGTTATAGGGTCCGGGACTCAGTTGAGGGGTACCGGTTAATTACTGTATTTCCTCTAAAATAGGCCCCCTTCTAAAATATGCCCCTCTAGAAATCGTTCGAAAAATAAGCCCCGGGGCTTATTTTCGAGGAAATAAGGTATTTAAAATTCTAAAAATATAAACAACTACATTAAAGTGTATAAACTTGGATTAATCATTTCCTTTATAAAAGCTTTACACAGATTAAGATAATTTAAAAGAAAATGCTCACTTTAAAGAAGCAATTTCTCTTTTCTTTTCCATTTCCATTCTTAAAATAACATTTCCAATATTTTTATATTTTCTATATAAATGGATAAAAAGGCCTGTATTTAATGCTGTTAATGCTCCAATAATAATTATCCCTGTGGTTGTTGTTAATGAACTTTTTGATGACCCGCAATCTGACATTTATTTTTTTTTGTTTTTAATAAATAAAAAGTGAAAATTCTCTTAAAAATTAAATTTTTAAAAATTAAATTTTTCAAGAAAGAAGCTAAAAATAAGAGAATGGTTTTGTGGGTAAATAAGGGCAAAAAAGATGCATGAAAAGGCAAAATTTATTTGAGAATCGATTGCCGATGAAGGACACTAACTGCTGTGCGATGTTGTTTACATATTTTTGTAGTAGTAATTTATTTTTTGTAGTTATGAATTATTATGTTTTTTATCTACGGATTAAATTATAATGTAAATCGCCTAATTCGTATTAGGATGTGTCAATTAATTAAATATTCATTAAATACAGGGTGGTCTTTACAAATTACAAAAAAGGGGCATGGCCCTCTCAAAAAGGGGCAAAATGTGGCAATGTTGAAAAAGGGGCGGGGAGGTCAAAAAAGGGGAGAACCCCTTAAAAGAGGCAAAAGCGTCACCCTGATTAAATTTGTAAACACGTATTTCCGGTAATAAATTTTATAACTGATCCAAGGTGGAAGAAATTTGTTTTAAAAAAATCTGTTAAATAAAATATAGGAAGGGTTTGAGATTTTACCTGTTGGTTATAGTTATAACGGAAGTGAGAATGTAGCCGCCAGTGTCCATTACTATCTTTCTGCCAATTACAGTTAACTTTCATTTTTAGCATTCCAATCCATTTGTAACGGCTTTAATAAAATTTTCTTTTAAAAAATAGTAAAATTATTAGTATTAAATATTTTGTAATAATTTCTATTTTTATCCACAATTTTATCCAAGTTTTAATAATGGGTTGTCAGATAAATAATGAGCCCTTTGCGCATTTTTAGTCTTTTTTTATGTAAAGGCATTCGAATTTTAGTTAGAATTATTTTAAATTTACTAGAGTCGATAGTTCCAGCTTTTTTCTACTAGCCAGAACCATTTAAAAGATAAATTTTTATTTTTGCAGTTTTTTAAAAATTTTTTAAAATTATGTCCTCAAAATCTGAAATTCGGGATGTTATTTTGTTTTGCTTCAAACGCGGTCTAGGTACACCTCAATCCAAAAAAGAAAATGCCGCCTTGAAGGGCACAAGTTGGGCATCTTTTGCATCAATTAAGCGATGTTATAAAAAATTCCGTGATGGAGATATGGGTCTAGAAGCCAAAATCCCCAAATTTGGGCTAAATTTGGGATTTTACACTGGGAATTAACTCCTAAGGGCAATGGATTGCCGGGCGAACTCTAAAAAACAATATTGGACATAGTTCAGATTGCCATCGATGGTTTCACGTTCATTATGATAAAGTTGTCTTTCAACATGTAACTGCACCCTTGCGTCGCGCGAACGGAACTCGATCCTACATCACGGAGACACTCGGATGGGAACTTTTAGTTGATCCTCCTTATTCTACGGATATTGCGCCGTCTGACTAGCAGTTATTTCGTTAGATGAAAAATCATTTGCGGGAGGTGAGGTTCCTAAACTATGCTCAACTCTAAAATTGGGTTGCCAACCTTAATAATACCAAATCTGCCACTAAATTTTATCAAATGGGAATGCAAAAACTGCCAAGCAATAGGCTAGAAGTGTTAGATAATAATGGACATTAAATTGTTTTTTGATTTCATTTCATTATTCAGTTATAGTAAATTGTATAATTTATGCGCAAAGGGCTCATTATTTATCTGACAACCCATTATTAAAATTTTTTTGAAGATGTCAGAGTTTCCATGACGATAAATTGAATGTACGGAAATGTTTTGAAACTTGAAAGATTCTGGAATAAAAAGAGAGTGAGGATTGAGAAAGGAGGGAAGGGGGGGTTATTTTGAAAGACATTAAAATGTTGGGGGATTAAAGTTAGTATATGCTTAAGATATTTTAAATAAATAATTATTTTTAAGAATATTTTTTATTTATGTTCATTTAAATATTTGAAAAAATTGCACAAAATTATTTGAATGCTTAAACAGAAAATAAATTCGTTTGTCATTGTCATAATTACAGTAGGTGAGGATTAATTAATTACTATACTCTAATATTATAAGTAATTAATAATTTAAAAAAATAGTCTAATCTCTCGAAAGGCGGAATATAATAACACTCCTTTTCGGCATGGGTACCTCTACTTTAGGAATATTTCACCTTTAAAAGGAAAATCATGTCATCTTTTTGGAACATCAAACTGAACCAAAATTCGTATTTGTACCTTTGTACGAGCAATTATTAGCTCTTTGTTAGTGTCCTCCTTCTCTCAACCATTGAAAAAATTGTACCATCAAAATTATTAAGTAACTTTACTCTTATTTTTCCATGTAAAGAGAGATTTATTTTTAATATTTTAAACATAAATTTTTTAATCACAGTTTTATTTTTGTCTTCCTTTCTATTGCTTGTGTCACCAATAGAAAATAATATTCAATTGTTCGAAAGTTCATGTGAATTTTCTTGTATTCATGGATATTGTGATGAAAGAAAAGGGTGATTAATAACTTTTTTTTTAATTTTAAATAATTTAAAGTTTATGTGTTTGTTCTCCTGGTTGGTTAAGTGCTGGATGTGAACTTTGTGTTTTGGGAATGGAATGTGATACAGCAGAACCCCAACTTTCTTTAATTTTACCTCAAGCAGGGCCCTTAAATTTTGGAAATTTAAGTAACAAAGAAGAGGAGGATTTACCTAAATTTGTCTACGCTTATGGAAGTGACTTTCCAAAGTCTTTTTAGAGAAAAAATATTTTTATAAAATTTTATGTTCCTTTAGAGTAAACTATTCTTGTGTTTTTGGTTCAACAATTTCTGTCAGAGGTCAATGGATCAGTACTTCTCTTATACGTTGCGAATATCCAAAAAATATTTTAATTGGACCTTCCAAATTAACTTTTGGATTAATTCCTTTAGATTCCAAACAATTTGTTCCGAATAATCTAGATTGGCCAACGGTAAAGTTTTAGATTGTTTAAAGGTTATTAAACACATTTGGCTATCTTTTGATTGGGGAGGGAGGGAGGGGGGGGGGAGGGTTGAATTATGTTGGGCTTTGTTTGTGATGTTTCAATTTATTTAAATAATTTTACATAATTTTATTTTATTACTTTTTTATCATCTAATTAATTTTTCAAATTTTTCTTTTTAATTTTCCAGACTCATTTTACATTTTTCTCCAATAATTGTTCACCTTCTTGCAAAGGCCATTGTTTAGGACCTCTTTGTTTATGTCCATTTAATAGGACAGGTCTTCAATGTGATCAACCATTTAATAAATTAACATTAAATAATACTGCAATATTACAAAAATTTAATGGAAATTTTAGAAAAGAATTTATTGAATTTATTCCCTATATTTTTAAATTACCTATTGAGGTAATAAAAATTAAATAAAAGTTATTTTTAAAATTAAATTATACATCAGATTAACCCTTCAAATGCACGTCTCAGTCTAGAATCTGATATAGAAGGGGGTGGTGGTGGATTAAAATTAGATCCATTTCAAGAACAAATTTATTGGTCTAGGTATTTATATAATTAAAAATATATTTTTTTAAATTAATTTCCAAAAAAGTCCATTGGGTCGAAGCAAACCCTATTCAATTTCTTTGAAAATAGAAAATGATGGAGAGGATCATCAATTAATTAATTGGACTATTAAAGTTAATCCAAGCTATTCGGCTGAATTAGAAAGAAGTTTAACATTAGTGAATCAAACAAATGGGAGAGAGTTGAGTGGAAAAATAAAATGGGGTAAAAATATTTAAATTAAATATGTGTTAATAATTGGACCTCTATTTTGTAGACATTCTTAAGCCTTTGTATTTAATATCAAAGGTTTAGAATCAACCTTGTTACTAACGTTCTCGTTAATAGCGACTATATTCTCTTACTAGTTAGGGTGTTTGATTGATAGTCAGATTTCATTTACTTGATGGATAGATAGATGAGGCCACTTATTCATATAAATATTAAAATTTATCTATAATAAACCATTTCTAAATTTTATAGAAGGTATTTCTAATAAAAAGCAGCCTTTTGCATTTAATTCAAGTCTTCCTTTGCTTATTCATATTTATGCTACCGATTCTGCTTGGCCCGTTCCTCTTGAAGATTTGCCAATCTGGACAGGGCGGTCTAGTAGTATGAATGGTGAAGAGGGTGATGATGGGTTTTGTTGCTTCAGACGGTTGCTTTACCCTTATTTGGGCACTGCTGAGAAAATAGCTATCGTTAGTTATTTAATCTTAAGTAAAATAAGCCGGGATATTTGGGGGTTAAATACAAGAGATAACTAAAGTTAAAATAATGACTAAAATATCCTTATATTAGAATCACTAATGTAAAATCAAAATCTCCCAATTATCCCGCTAAACTCTAGTTTCTTCCAGACTCGAAATAAAAATTTAATAAAATCAAGACTGTCAGACATCCAGGCTCTGATTTGGAAAAACATTTACATAGTCGTGATCTTCACGATGAGACAGATGCGCTTGAATGGACACAAGAACGTGTAGAAATAACTGATTATTTAAACGAAGTTCATCCGAAAGAATGGGATCAAAATAACAAAAGTTTAACGTTAAATTACTCTTTAAGACTTTCCCCTTTGGGTGGAGATTGTAAGGATGGATGGCGTTTTGAAGTTCTTGAACCAAGAGAATTTATTTTTATCGTTGAAAATGATAAATTACAAATGTTGCAAGACAAGCCTGTTAGTTTTGAAAATATTTTTTGATAATTAAAAAATAGTTTTTTTTGGGTTTGTGATAAATAGGAAAACTAGATTTGAAAAATACAAGGGAGAGAATCATTCCTTATGGTTGCCTTATATTTAGAATAATTATATTAACTCAAACCTTGAAATGTTTCTATATGCTTTAAGCACCCTATCCTCTCAATTATTCTAAGGCTAAAAATTATATATTATTTTATAGGGAACTTATCTTTTAAAGCTTAAATTCCAATCATTTGGCGATATGGAAATTTCTGAAGAAAATAATGCTCGAATACCGTTACGTGTTGTATTTATGTGTATGCCTACTGGACAAAGCCTTACCATAGAGTAATTTTTGAATTAAATTTAAATTGTTAATGACAGTCCTCCTTAAATTATATCCAAACCCGCATATATTAGTTGTTTATAAACTCCGAAATTTATTTTCGGGATTAACTTTTATGAAGAAAACTTTTTCAGACAAGCACTTGTTGGTTTAATATTTCCTGGAAAGGAGGAAATCAAGGCAGTTACTGGAGCTAAATTAAATCCGAAGCGTTTATTTGTTGATTTAAACAAAAATCCATTTAATGTAATTTCGGTAATTATTCTTTTATTAAAAATATTTTTAAAATTATTTTTTAAAGTTAAATATTTATTTACCTAATGATTTATCAAATAAATTACAAAAAGATAATTTAAAAGAAACTGAATCTTTTTTACCCTTTACATTAATTTGGATTAATCGACCTTCTCAAAATAATTGGCGATTTTGGTTAAAATTAAAATCAGAAGAAATTGAAAAATACAAAAATATATTGAATGAAAGTGGGGGAAATATTGATGGAGCTTTTTTAATTAAAGGAAATGAAAATGTATTTAGTTACTTAATAAATTAGTTAGTTAAGATATGTAGTACATAGGGGCAGAGGTGGGTCGGAATTCCAATTTCCGAATTCCGACTTTTGAGCCAGTTTCAATTTCCAGCTCCGATTTCCGACACCTCTGACTGTTCCTAGGGAGAAGTATATATGAAACTTTCACCTCATATGAAAGTAAAAAAAATAACTTTTAGGATTTTCAGTAGCAGTTCACCTTGGTATTACCGAAAATACCGACTCGATATTATTTGGTATTGACCCCAAACTAGTTCTTTTATTTTAAGCACAGTCCCCGTTTCTTTGATTTCAACTATGATCTTTCAGTTGCGAGACATGTTAACCACTTTTCTTTCACTTTAACCTCCATTTAGGAGAATACATATACATACTTCTTTTGTCCCTTATTTTAACCATATCTTACATGCTTTCTTAATTTAAAATTAAATAATTAATTAAAAAATAATTATTTTTTAAAGTTAATTCTGTCAGTTCCATATAGAATTCAACAAAACAATTTAAAACAAGAAAATGACCCTACTTTATTTTTCTTTACTTTGGTGGTTAAAGGAATTGGTGGAGGTACTAATTCTTTACATCCAACAGATGTTGAATTATTTACTCAAGAACGTGAACAATATTATGCAAAAACTCTTTTTTTAAATAGTTTGGATTTTCTGAAAAAATTTTTTTTTAATTTTCTTTTCAGCTCCAGAACAGTTTGGACCTCTTTTTGCTTCCCTCTTTCAATTAAAAATCCGTTCTCGTCATTTCCTTCCATTTACTAAATTAATTAGAATTAATCCATTAGATAATATTTTTATTGTTGAATTAATTCCTAAACCTTCACAATATTTTACTTTTGATGGAAAACAATTTAATTCTGAATGGCAAGGGGTGGAAAGAGTTGAAGATAAAGAAGAGGTGAAAATTGGTTATTTTTTAATCAAAAATAAGGGATTAATTAATCATCTTTTTGCCAATTCGGAGAGAAAATTATAACACCTTTCTGTTTCCGAACTATGTATTTCTCTGATTCAAGTCGTTGTTTAGAATTTGGGTTAGTTTGGGACTCAGGATTTTTTTGAACAAAAAATAACAATAATTAAGCATTACAGGATAACTTAAAATAAATTAAAATAATTTTAAAATAGCGTTATTCAATTTTTATTAAAATAAAAATATACCTAATTAACTCTAATTATAACCTCGTCATCCATTTCTTTAAAGTTCTACCCTTAATAAATTTAACTAAATAATTTAATTTTTCTTCTAGACTTCATTATTCTCCCCTCCAATTGTTCATTTTCGTCCAGCTGTTTTTACTCCTCAATCTCTCTCCAAATTTGTTGATGTTGTTTATGTCCAAGGATCAACAAACTCTTTTGTTTCTGTCCAGCCTGGATGGAATTCTAATAACCAAATTTTGGATTTTCCAATGTCCAATTTAAATTCAAGTCTTTGTTTGGGATGTGGATTTCGACAATTAATTAATTTAAAACAAATTTCAATGGAAACAAAATGTGATGCAATGACTGTTTCTGTTCCTTTTTGGTCTGCCCAACCTATTGGACATTCTCCTGCTATTTTGAAATTCTCTCAATATTTTTTGTTAACTTCAGAAAATAATAAAATAAATAATGAAGAGGAAGATATTGGAGAGAATGAAGAAGAAGAAAATAATAAAATATTAAATAATGATAATCAACAATTTAAATTTCCCCGAATTTGTCATCAAAAAGAAGATGAAAATGTGGATGGGCAAGGTAGTTGAAGAGTCTTCAAGATTTAAGACTTTCCTGGCTCCTTGACTGAATCTCTTTTTTTCTTTCTGATAAGGATAAAAATACCTCATAGGAGGACAATTCTTTAAAAGTTTTAGAGAATTTTAAAGAGAAGTTCTCTTAAGTGACCTTCTCGTTTTAATTCTCGTTTTCAGGTCTTCTACCATTCGGTTTTCGAACCCATATTCTACAAAATTGTGCATTATCTCATCTTCGTATTTGTCGCCAACTTTATAACCCATCAGGCCCTCGTTGTCAAAATTGGTGGAAACAAATACCAGATTCCTTACTTTCAGTACATTCTATCGCCCAATTTATTCTTTTATCAGTTAATTGTAATAAAGAAAAGAATAGTCCAAAAGAAATGCTAAAATTAATTAAATGTATTCGAAAAGTTGATTGGAATTGCCCTTTACATCCTATTGAATCAGAAATGGCACCTCACATTGAAGGACAGATTTTTAATCAGGTAAATAAAACGATTTATTACCCTTGAAACTGGAAGTAAATCAACACTTCCTTCTAATTAGTTAGATCAAGAGTGATTAATTATAATGACTCCCACGGTTATTTCTAATCAGTCCAAGCAAATTTTATTAGAATCTTCTTGATGAGTTAGGCTCTAATCACATTTGGTGTGCCTAATAGACATATTGGCATGGTTAAATGTATGGCAAACTTTTGATAGAGTTTGAAGATTAAATTCTCCAAACAATATATTTTATTTGACACAAAACATATCACATGTTTCTTGTAGTAATTCCAAAAGAGGCTTTGGTACTATGCGTTTATATCCCCACAATTCCGCAAATGTTTGTCCGCAACTTTTTTCATTCTTTCTCCTCATAAAGGATTAGAAACGGTCATGTTAACCCTCATTTTTTCTTTGCCTTTTTTCTTCTCTCACAAAGATTAAAATGTTCAAGTAGAAATAGAAAAATATAAAGGTAAAAAAAGAGAATGTTTAGAAATTATTTTGGTATTTTTTGTTTGGTACCCCCCCCCCATTTTTCTGACCATTTTACATTTTTCCTTTCCTTTCTCCCTCATTGGTACTTTTCCGTTTTGCCACACCCTCATAAATTAATGCTCAAAATGTCATATATAGGGTAATAAAAGGTAAACGGTACCACTCTTTTTTCCCGTAAATGCCTGTGGACCGAGATAGATGGCTAAAATGGTCAAAAACCATAGGTGGAGCAAGTATCATAACTTTTATCGTAACTTTGTCCAATCTTGTGACTCATCTCGTCGAACTTGACTCATCTCGTCGAACTGCTTCAATTAAGTATTTGTTTGTGCAAACTTTTTTATTCGAAATGTTCATAGGCCCGTATTTCGGTCCAATCAAATTAGAAAAATGGGATGGAGGGGTGGGGGTACCAAACAAACTATTACCGAAGTAATTTCTAAACATTCTCTTATTTTTACCTTTATATTTTTCTATAAGCGAATATTTGTCTTCCTCTATTTTTACTTGAACATTTTAATCTTTGTGAGAGGAGAAAAAAGGCAAAGAAAAAATGGGGGTTAACTTGACCGTTTCTAACCTTTATGAGGAGAAAGAATGAAAAAAGTTGCGGACAAACATTTGCGGAATTGTGGGGATATAAACGCATAGTACCGAGGCTTTATCAACGATTTTAGAACAAAAACATTCAAATTCCTAAAATTTACTTTAATAATTTTTTAAAAATAGATTGGCTATACAAAACCTTTCCGTTCCGGACTTGGATTGTTTTTTCCAGCATTGGGCCTTATAGAAGCTCAATTATTAAATTTCCCTACACTTTTGGCTGATTTTCTTCAACAATTAAAAGTTTTAAATTTGAAAAAATATTTAAATTTAAAAAATATTTTTTAAGAAAATATTCCCCAAATCAATTATTTATTCACTCACTTCTGAACGTTTCTATAACCAATTTATAACAGCAATAAGTACAAATTCACCTAATGGTTCTATTGTTGATTGGAATGAATTGGATGTTTCTCTTGGAGGTTTTTGGAATATTTTTAAAAGAATACATGGCAACACTCTTATCCTTAGGAGTTGTAAATATATTTAAAAATGGGGATTAAGTTTGGTGTGTGGAATAAGTTAAAATTACTGGGGAAGTTTTAAAAAATAAAACAAGTCAGGTATCGTATATCCTGTAATAACTACCCTGGGTAATTATTGTTTCTACCTCCCGCTGGAGGGAGTAGTGAGGGTAATTATACGAGGTTTAAAATTTGAACGTGTTTAAAGGCATTTGTTGGGGAGTAATTATTGTTTCAACCTATCGCTGGATGGGGTAATTAATGGAAGTGGGGTAATTATTTGAGGGAGGGCAATTAATACAGGTTATACGATAAATATAATAAGTCTTGGAATTCCGAAAATAGACAATAAAAACTAATAAATTACAACCAAAATTTATTTTATAAATATTATTTCAAGAACAAAAGTGTACAAAACTCTATTTTTAAAATAGATTTTTAGCTTTTTAAAAATTTGTTTTAAATAAAAAATAATTTAATATAATAGATTTACGTCCTTCTTCCGAAGAGCTTATTAAACTTTGGAATTATCTAGTACATCTTTTAAATGGAGGACAATTAAATTTATTAATAAATGGGACAGAATCTAATTTAATGATAAAAAATTTAAAAAAATTAATTATTCGTTCTGATCGGTTAAAAACTGTTACTAGACAAGTAATCCTCTAAAAATTAAAAAAAAAGAAAATATTTTTTTAAAGTTTGGAGCAGACAATCCATTTTCATTATTTCGAGATGTTTTAAATAAAATTTTCGAAAATATTTCTTTTAATTCTGACAAAACAAATGTGACGGCTGAAGGGGATATTCAAGAACAAAAAATAGCTTGGACTGATGTACAAGTTGAGCCGTTAGAACCGATTGAGGGTTTGGAATTTAGGTAAAATTAAAAATTTTTAAAATAGAAAAATACACATTGACTAGCCAAGTAAACTTTTTCTAAAATGAATAGCCAAGTAAATTATCAAAATATATTTTAATGCTCGAATAATTATGTACCTAAGATAATTCTTTTATGTAGAGGTTAATTAATGAAAGAGATTATCTGTTCTAATTTCAGAAACTTAAATTCTGAAATTTTTAATTCAAATTTTCGAATTCTAAAAATTCTGAAAATTTTAGAGAAATAAAAGATACATATTTCTATTTATTTCTTTGCATTACCCTCGTCTAAATTTTATTCTTATAATTTCCCCACTCTTTATTTTAATTATATTTATTTTATTTTTTTAGCATTTCTGTCACCATTCAAGCTCGTCAAGTAAATTAAAATTAATTAAAAACATTTTAAATATCATCCTTCTTTCTCTCTTTTTTCAGTCATTAATTAATAAATTAGAATCAATTCAATTAAATCTTCGTTTTGGCCAATCAAATAATTTAAAATTCCGTATTGGACCTATTTTTAATTCAAAAAAAGAGCCAATGAATTTAAGTGCTGGAGAACGGCTTCGAGTTGAATGGACTGTTGTACCCGTACCTGAATTTCGTTTAACTGGTCCGATAATGCAAAAAGTAGATGCTTTAAATAAAAATTATTACAAATAAATTATTGTGTTAGGGTGAAATTATAAACAAGAAGATGATAACAACAAATAGGAAGACTGAGCTACCGGGGCACCATTGAAGTCCCACTGAGCTACTGGGGCATCGACTAATGCTTTCTCTTTTTCTTTCTTAAATCGTTTACCCCCGCCTAAGCGTTTTAAATGCTCTAGGTGAATCATCTTTACAAAATTTTATTTCTAAACTGTCCATGAAATTGGGATTTTATTATTGTCTCAAAATAAGAGTCAGCCTAAAAATGTTTCCTTAAGTTACACTAAAATTTGGTCAACGCTCAGATTTTCTTTTTAAAAATCTTTCCTTTTTCAGATAGATTTAGCATTTGCTTACCAACTTGGAGGAAGAAGATTAGCCCAAAGACTTAATTCCCCTTCAATTAAAATATTACCACAACCTTCCCTTCGTTTACTAGCTTTTGGACAACCAACAATTCCAACTTCTTTACCTGGATCTCCTCCTTTTAGTTTAATGCTTTCTGCTATAAATTCTGGATATTCGACATTAAAAATGGTTAAAGCAAAAATTCTTTTGTCATTAAAAAGAATTTTTTTAGGTTCAACTTCTTGAACTCCGACCAAATTTTTCTTTAATTGGAAACGAAAATAAACAATCTTCAATTGATTTTAAAATTGATGGAATTAATTTGGAGGGAAATGAAGGAATGGCAGAATCTCTTTCTTTTGGACAAATTAAATCTGGGGAGGCTTCTCATTTATTTTTGAATATTTCTTTGGAATATAATGGTGATGGACAATATAAAATTGAAGTAAAAATTGAGCTCCCTTCCTTACTTTAATTTATTTTTTAAATTAGAAATCAGCACTTTTTCGGAGCTTTTCTTCAGTTGTTTCTATTGACGGTTCTCTCCTTCCTCCTGGACAATTTGAACAAAAATTATTTTTAATTCACGAGACTACACATAGTCATGCAATGTTAATTGTTTCGGAATATTCTAACCCCTTTCCTTTATATTTATTTTCCAAAAGACATAATTCATTAACTCCATTAACTACACTACAATTAATTGAAGTAAATAAATATTTTGTTTTTAAGAATAAATTATGGGTTTGCAGGAAAAAGAATCTCGTCCACAAATAAATGGGCATTCATTCCTTACACGTATTTTCGCTCTCCGTCGTCTTTCGCTAATTTCAACATCCCAAGAAGATGAAAATTTAAGATCAAGTGTTGGTGCCATTTTTGCTTCAGTAAATGTTGGAACTGCACAGACTTTTGAAAATGGGGCAAAACTTTTGAGAGTAGCAGAAATAGGTCCACAGGGAAGAAGGAGACCAATAAATATGAGTTTGGTTTGGATTGGAAGAATTAGCAATGAAAAGGTAAGTTTAAGAGGGAGAGAGAGAGGTGAAGTGTCATTCACTCTTTAAAAAAATTTTTTCAAAAATAATTTTAAAAAATTTATTTCAGACAACCCTAATTAATTTCATTGACTTGCGTGCTTCTCCAGCCATTCCCCAACTTATTTATGAATTATTATTTGGTTTACCCGAACATTTTAATTTACCTTTCTTCTCTCAACCATTTTATCAATTAAATTTGGCTTTACCTGTTAAAACAAATGGAAAACAAAAAGTTTTGGCTAGAATGGAAGCTATATCTCCAACAAATAAACAAATAAAATATTCTTTATTAACCAAAGAAATGAATAGTACATTAAGTATTGTACCTTCAACAGGTGGTGTTTTTAAGAGGATTAAAGGGGTTCGGTCTCTTTCTCATTTTGGATTTGAAAGAAATTTAAATGCTTTCCAGAGAGGACATTTATTTCTGTTAAAAACCTCGATTCAGAATATACTTTTTTATAAAGAAGAGGTGGGTCGGAATTCCGATTTCCAACGTTTTTTCCTGCCAATTTCCGACTTTTGAGCCAGTTCCGATTTCCACCTTTGACTGTTTTGACCCACCTCTGATAAGGAAAAAAGAGATGATAGTTTTATATCGCCTTTTTGCATCAAAATAATCATATACTCCTTAGGTGATATTGTCTTGTCTGACGATTTACTAGAACCTTACGAATATTGTCTAAATGTTGTAGCTACAGATTCAGAAGGACAAAGTTCTCGAGTTCCATTTCAATTAAATATTTTAAAAAGAGAAAATGAAGGAATGACAGAAGAATGTCAATTATTTAATGAAGAAAGTAATAATCTTTACAATAATGAATTTAAACCTATAGAAAGGGAAGAAAAAGACTTTTATTTTACTTCAACTACAATTCAATTAACAAACAACGAAAAACTAACAACAATTCCTTTAATTATTTCATCAGAACCTTCCATCCCTGCTAAACCTATTTTTGTACATAAAATTGATGGTGATTCCACACTTTCTCCTTTAACAACATTAAAAGGGAAATTGGCAACTGTTGGGGATTCTCTTTTAGAGAAGGAATTGAAAGGAAATGAAACAGAAAATATATATTCTTTAGCTTCTACAAGTATTTTACCCCCTTTAGAAGAATCCCCTTTAAATAATCTTCGAACAGTACAACCACACAGATTTAGTACAAGACAACAATCGGGATCTCTTAAAATTGCTGGCCTTTCCGGAGGAGGTGTTGGAACAAGAATTGGACAAAACAATGTAGATAACTTTGATTATAAGGGTATTTGGATTAGAGATTGGCGTGGGACGGGATCCCCCAACTACAGTTGGGGCTAACAATTAAATCTATTATGTACATATAGTAGTTCAGTTTTAAATATTTTAAATTCAAAGGGACGCAAAATTAACGGATCAATGTCTGGAATTCAAAGAGAAAGTAAAAACGGAGATATGGCTAGCCAAGCAAGTGCAACAACTATGGCTGAAATGGCATGTCGACTTAGATCAACAAAACCTATTTGGGCTCTGATATGTGATATGGCAAAAACTGTATATCGTTCAACTATGATAAATGCTTAGAGAATAAATTTGTCTAGTGATAATCTTTTAAGTTTACATTTTTGTGTCCAACAGAATAAAAACAATATATTAAATTTAAATTCTAATTTTATAAAAAAATTTTTAAAATGCCTGTAATTTCAAGTGCCTCCTTTCTTCTCTTTCATCGTAATATTCAACCCCCTCTTCATCATCTTCTTCCTCCTCACTTTCCAATTTAATATCCTCGCTCACTTCTTCATCCCAAGCATTTGGATAAAAAGGAATTGGAGTCGAAAACATTCTTGGATCATAAACAACATCAGCCAAAAATAGTCCATTTGGAGGGGCTAACTTCATCCCAATTTGATGATATTTTGTTGGGTCTGGGTCTTTAAGAAGAAATTCTGCAACAAATTTAGCGTGGTCTGTTTTACGAGCTGCTAGGGAAATTAGTGAAACCATACGGCGAATCTAAAAAATAAAAATTAGAAGAGGAAGAAATTAAATTCAACAAGAAAAGTGACTAATTTAAAATCGAAAAATCCGAGAAAGCATTTGTAATACAAAATATCAAGGGCGTAGCCAGGGGGTCGATTTAAAAGGTGGGGGGCTAAAATAGGGTATACGCCAAAAATACGGCGTTTTGAACGCAAATTGTGCTGTACAAATAATTTAATCTTTTCAACGCCACAGGTGAATTTTTTTTAATTTGGAGGTCGTAAGCGAAAAAATTTCATTTTTCTTATCATCTTTCTCATATTCGCTTCTCCCCAATTCAGAGGGAGGGGTGGGGCTATGGCCCTAGAAGCGCCCTTGCAAAATATCTAAATACCAAACTGTGTATAAATGAAATATTTTTTCAAAATTAATTCAAAACTTTCTCATTAAATTTAAATTCAAATATGTAAAAGGAAAAATCCCAACCTGTTGCCTCAAAAATCCATGGGCGACAAACTCAATATTAAAATATTCGGCATCCTCATCAGGTAGAAAATAAGGTTCTCCTTAAATTTAACAATTTATAAAAATCATAATTTAAAAAAAACCTCTATAAATTTGTAAAAGTCTCGGCCATCTTCTATCCGTTGTAGTTTTAAAATTTTTTCCTTTTAATCTGTCCCCCATTTTGTGAAAATAAAATGAAGCATAATTTAACCCCGGCCTTCTCAATATTGCACACATTTCATTAGCTTTTTCAACATTAAATGAAGGAGGTTGTGCCCAAGAATAATCAAATTCAGCTAAATCAATGAGTGATTGTTGGTCAGTTTGTCGACTTTTCAGATAAGCATCCATTGAATAAAAACGGCGAATTCGGTAAACATAACGCCTTAAAAATTTTTAAAAATATTTTTGAAAATTAAAATTGGAGGAATAAAAAATTTTTTTTTAATTTTTTACTCTTTTAATGTTTTCCATAATTTTTTGACTGTTAGATCTAGGGTTATTGGCGACCGTTTTAAAACCGGAATTTTTGAAATTTTTTGAAAAAAAATTAACCGTTTTAAAAACCGGAAATTTATGAAAATGAGTGATTTTATTTAAAATTCCCCAAAAAATAAACCGGTATGTCTAAAACTCAAAACCGAAAACGGCTTTCTAAAATTTAGATTAACCGAAAACCGGGGGTACAGGCTAATAACCGGTCGCCAACAACCCTATTAGATACCACTAAAATCAGTAAAGTTAGATTTTGAATAGGTTAAGGAAAATTTGGCAAAAATTTAAAAAGGAGACGAAAATAGGTTGAAATAATAGAAAAAAGAAAAACCTGTAAGAGACATGAAAGTTAGGATTAAATCCTTTCGCCACGGGAGTAATTTCCAACAATTTCATTGAATGTTCAAAACCAACATTTTTAATTAAATCTTAAAAAATAATTTTTAACAAAATTTTTTATTAAAAATACCATTAAAATCATCAACAAATTTTGATCGAGAAATTGGATTTTGAATAATTGTAGAAGTACGTTCATTTGGGGGTTTAACCAAAAATGGGCTACGCAAAGCATGTACTTTGGCATCTGTTCTGAAAAGAATGATCTTTTTTGGTATTTTATTTTTTATTTGATAAGTCTTGAATTACTTAACTTATGTTTAGAATCTGAGGGAAATATGTGTTCTCAATTTTTTTCAGTCTTTTTTGTTTTGTGGGCCCTTCGCATTTTTACAGCCAAAACATTCAATAAAAGAGGAATTCTGCAGCAACAGAACAAAAATATAACAATTTTTCCCGTGTCGGGCTAACTCACGGAGCGGACAAGACGCGGAATTACCAAATCACTGAACGACCAACTGACGGAATTAACAAATCACGGAATATTTTAAAAATCGGAATTTTTTTTGAAAAATCTGAATATTCTTAGAAAATAAGACTTTTTAACAAATTAGAATATTTTAAAAAACATAATTTAAAAAATTCTGAAAAATTCGGATTTCTAAAAATATTCTGATTTTTAAAATATTCCGTATTTTGGTCATTCCGTGGGATGGCAATTCCGTGACTTGTCGTTTCGCAACCTGTCTATTCCTTGATTTGAATTCCTCGAGTTAGCCTCCACCCCATTAATTTGAAGTTTGATATAACAATTTTTAAAGAATATCCCTCAAAAATAAAAAAATTTTTTGTTACCTACTAACTGTAGTTGAACGAATTTTTGAACAATCTTCCTCAAATAATCTAGCCAAGCAAGATTCAAATAATTTGTAAACACTTGCTCCCGTATGTGGTGCTGCACCTTTTGCCATTGAAGAAAATCTAGAACCATCATAACGAAGCCAAAATAAAAATTTACGAAAAACAATATCCTCTTGCATTAGAATTAAATGTGCATATTAAAAATATTTTTATTAGAATAATTTTAAAATACGTAAAATTATTTCGACGAAAAATGGCAAGTATCAATAACTTATAGTTAGCCTGGGGGTCATTCAAGGGGATAAATTGTGTGTGCGCCAAAATGGCGTTTACTTTGGCGTTCCGAACGCAAATTTTTTTGTACGTATTTTTATTTTGAAATTTTTTGATCTTGGAAGGCCAAGAAGCACCTAAAGCCACCTGGCTACGCCTTAATCAGTAGTTAGAAAATTGTAAGTATAAACTAAAAATATCAACACAAAGTCAAGTAGAAATAGAGATAGATACTGGATATTTTAAAATATCTTTTCAAAAAATAAAATCTACAAATAAAACAAATAAAAATCCTTTATAAAAAACAGAAAAGAAATATTAAGAATTAAAGAATTAAATATTATGAATATGATTTTATTTAATTATTCCATCAATTTTTATCATTAATTTCAATTTCAATATTAAATTGTTCCCCAAATTCGCCTAATAAAGAATTAAAAGAATTGGCTGGGTCAGTTTCCATATGAGAGACCTTAAAAAGAATTTTTTAAATAATTTTTATTTAAATAATTCACCTCAACAGCATGAATAACAATTTTCTCAGGACGTTCAGATTCAGAATTTGTACGGTAAATGTGAATAAAAGTGGTAGATTTTGAGGTAATGAAGGCAAAAACAGGCTTTGCATAAAACAATTTTTTGTTTGTTGATTTTACTTTGATTGCCTATAAAATGGTGGGGTTTTTTAGAGAGATTTTATTAAAAACTAACAATTCTTTGTTCTCCCAAATTAGTAATTTCAATAAGTCTAAAGCCTCCTCCTTTAGTGTATTTTAATTGTTCGGGATATAAACTGAGTTTGATTGGTCTACTCTTGAATTTAATAGGTTCATTCACATAATTAAATCCCACAATTCTTTCCGTACTGCAATCCGTCTTGGAATTTGTTCTGAAATTGATATTTAGTTTTTAAATTAAAAATTTCTCAACTAAGGTTGGCGGATAGTTTGGAAATCTTTAGATATCCGGATCCGATATCTGAACCGAAATTTTCGGATATCAGGCCTTTTTTGGATCCGAATCCGACAACCTTACCCTCAACTAAGGCATTAAGGTGCCTCGAAAAAGAACTTAAACCCACCTACTAACAGAAGTACTTGTAAGAATCTGTTTTGAAGTCCCTTGCTCATTAAACAATCTCGTCGAACAATTTTCACATAATTTACAAGTACATACTATTCCTCTTTGAGATGCTGTATTTTTAGTATTTGATGGAAATAAATAACCATCACATCCAAGCCATGACATTAATTTTCGGAAACCCCAATCTCCTTGCATTTTTCCTTAAACTTTAGGCTCAAATTTAGTTTAACAAAGGAAAGTAAAAATGAGATGTTAAACTCAAAAATAATTTCAAAACAAAATTATTATATTATTTATTGAGAACAATATACATATATCACATATTCGAGCAATTCCTATACAATTTAAAAAGAAACAAGGAAACGAGTTATACATCACAATTTGTACATACCAACAACAAATAGGAAAATGAGTTGGGAAAATAGGGATGAATTCTATATATACATACAACAAGCATTGTGGATGAGTTTATGCAAGTTTTATATCTTTCTAGCTTCAGAGGATTGCTTCACACATCTTTTTATCTTCATGTTCTTCTAGACCATCGGTTTACGCGCTGCTGGTCCTTGGCTTGCTGAGCGGCGTCCCGCCGAGCTGCGGCTACCCTTCTTGCCATGGGATCGAGCACCTCTTTTCCCCCTCTTTGACTCGGTTCCTGCTTCAGGTCCGGCTCCTGCCTTCGAATCAGCTCCTTTCTTCTTGTCTCGCCTTCCCTTGGATGAAGCGCCCTTGGATGCTTTGGAGCGGCTAGAGCCTCCACCTCTCTTGCCCTTGGGTTTGCTGCTACTTTCGCTCTTTGCCATGCCTCCACTGTTGAACTCGATCCCGTAGTTTTCGCGCAGATAGGTGTTGGCGTACTAAAAAAGAGTAAAATATAAACGAGTAGACAAAAACAACAAAAAGTTCTAATAAACTTACAAAGCCGGAGACGAACATGATGATTGCGGCTAGCAAGTAAAGCCACGCTGACATCTTGACGAAGTTGTGTTGCTGACGATTCCTTCTGCGAAAACTGGCGTGAAGAAGTGATAGGTAATCGTTCCGCTGCTAGAGATGATTTAGGGATTGACTAGACATTGCCTACTTTTATAGTCCAATAATGATGGTTCTAAAACCTAATTATAAAAACATTTTTCGTGAGAAAATAAATCTCTTCCTGTCCAAAAATCTCAAAGCAGCGTTCCAGTGTCAATTGCCAATAATGTTGTTGCAATCCAGCTCAAGTGGATGGTTCATGTGGTCTTCTCCTGGTGCAAACTTCTTTGTGATTGTTGTTCTTCTCTCTGTGCTATCAATTCACTCACTTCTCGACTGCTGTTGTTGCAAAAAGAAAAAGGTGAAATTTTTTAGATGAATCACGTTATAAATTTTTATCAAATTTAGAAGAGACACGATAAGGTAGTTGTGGTTGAGGAGAAAAAGGCAAAGGCATCAGGTCCAATTTTGAAAAGCATTAAATTTTATCTCCCCGATTCCAGGCGATGAACATCCAAAACAAGAATTAAAGTCAAAACCTAAATCTAAAGACAAAAAAACATCTCAAAAGCCTAGCAAAGATTCGAAGCCATCGTCTAAATCACCGCCTAAAAAGAGCAAGGAACCGGCAAGTGAACCTAAATTGAAGAATGACCGCAAAGATCAGCAAGGAATGGGCACAGGTCTCGACTACCAAACACTTGGAAATTTGGATCGTAACATTTTTGTTAAAGGGAAGAAAGGTAAAAATGAGCAAATAAACCTTAATAAATTTTCAATTTAAGGTGGTAGCAGTCCCAAAACCCAAGCTGGGGGTCCATTGCCAAAGCTAAAGGAAGAAGAACATGATGCTGGAATGGGAGGCGGTTCAGAATACAAAACACTTGGAAATTTAGACAAAAACATCTTTGCGAAAAACGAGAAAAAGGCAAAGCTTCTACCAAAGCCGAAAACAAAGGACGAAAGAGATGATCAACAAGGCATTGGCGAAGGGGCTGACTATCAAACTCTGCAAAATCTCGATAAAAATATATTTGTCAAAAGCGAAATTAAAACAGATGAGAGCGAATACGATAAGAAGGTTAAAAAGAAGACAAAGAAAAAGATCGAAGAAGAAGATGATGATGAAGGAACGAAGAGTGAACATGACAGGAAAACGAAAAAAAGGCTCCCGTGAAAAAGACAAAGCCTCAACAAAAGCCTAAAACAAAAGATGAGAGGGAAGATCAGCAAGGCCTAGGCGAAGGAGAAGATTACCAAACACTGCAAAATCTCGACAAAAATATATTCGACAAAAAAGTCAATCAAAGAGAGGAGACCGAGGAGGGGACGACAAGTGAACATGAGATCAAGAAGACGAAGAGAAAGAAGAAAGTGAAAAGTGAAGAGGACGTGAAAGGGAAGAAAAATAAAAAAGGGCCAACTAAAGAAACTAAAAAAGTGGTAAAGAAAAAGCCAGTGTCGGAGACGAGTCTTTCAAGGTGAAATAAAAATTGAATTTTTTAAATCCCTTTTGGGGGTAAATGTGAGAAATTTAGAGTTGGGGACGAAAAAAAGGGGTGGGGGTCTAATTGAGTGAGTTAAAAAAATTATTCCTTCCCAGTCTTTTGGGAGAACTTCAATTTTAGGAGGGAAGATAATCTTTGTTTAATTTAATTTTCTTCTAAACAGATCAGAAGTTAGTCCAGATACAAAGAAAACCAAAACTAGTGGCAAAGTCAAATCACGTCATAATAAGACTTATTCTTTGCATGGTCTAAGCGAGTTAGAATTAGATCCGGATTTGGAAGATGAAGAATAAATGAACGGGATAAATAAATAATAAATAGAATGTACATATATATTTGTGTTATGTATTTAATTTGTTCTATATTAACTTTGTATAATTGTTAAATATGTATTTGTTTATTTATTCTTGCTATTATTTATTCTCTTTTTTTGTTTAATAAATGCTTTTACACCTTTTTTGATAAAATTGATAAATTGTTTAATGATAACAAAGTAATTAATTATTTGTTTCAGTTAGATAATTAATTGGATACAATATTTATTTCCAATTTATATTGTTTTACCAATTGTTAATTTTAATTAGAAATAAATAGTTACAATAATTAGGTATATGTATTTAATAACAATAACTCAGAAATCTCAATAACTACTTACATATTAAAAATTAATACCCCCTAAAATAAATTAGGAAAAAAAAATTAATTTACAAACTACTACATAAGTATATATTTTTGTAATTAATTTTTGTTTGACATTAGTAATCACATTTAATACCATACATATAGTGTGTACTCTACATGTGATTGTCTTAAAATTTAAAATATTTTATTTATTTAATAATTCCATTATTATTTATAATTATCCTCTCTAATAATTACTACTTAATTTTCCTATGCTAATTTTAAAAATATTTAAAAAATTATTATCAAATTTAATTATCAGCACATTTTAGGATTTAATCTCAAAAAAATAAATTACTTTAGATATACCCCCAAATCCATCACGTATTCCCTAATAATTACTCCCTCTAACTTAGAAATTGAAGCAATAATTACCAGTGTTATTATTTTCGTTCTATACTTTGCAAGATATTCTCTGTTATTTAACTTTAAAAAGTTTTAATTAAAATAAAAAATATTTTTTATTAAAAAATATTTTAATTAAATTTAAGAATATTTTATTTTAAAAATATTTTTAAAATCTTAGAAATATTTTTTAAAATTTCAAAAATTTATTTTAATTATTTTTCTCTATAAATATTTATTTAATTGAGAATTTATTTTTGTTATTATTTTTCTTCTTTTAATTTCCCTACTTTCAAAAGGTTTTCCCTGAAAAATAACAAAAAATCCACGAGAAAAGCTTGCTAGACGATGAAAAATATTAAGATATTGTCGAAAAATTGGAAAGGATGGAAGGAAATAAATAAATTATTTTGGTTATTTTTTGTTGATTATTTTTGTTGAATGTACTAAAAATAGTACATAGTACACACATTTATTTTTTTGCTTTATTTCTTAATATTTTTTATTTTTTAGAATAATGTAAAAACTGTAAATCTTATCCTCAAATTTTAATTCATAAAGGAATACCAGGGCCTGTAAAATAAGAACTCGGTTGCTGGTTACGTATCCACCAACCAGCGGTTTTAATCGGTAAAATAAGACAGTCGTAAGGTTAACCATGACCTTTTGGTTAGGTGACCTGGTTACCTAACCACCAACCTACGGGCCCAGAAGGTTTAGAACTTGTTTAAAAAAATTTTTTAAATCATCTCATTCCCCTCTATCCAACCCTTTAAAAGTACTATAACAATTTAATTAGAAAAAAAATTAATTTTTAAAGATAATTAACTAGTAACTAATTTTTTATCAGTAAAAAAGATGGGGTTATGTATGTGTATATTATTTTATTTTCTTTCAAAAACACATGTTTTACTAATTTAATTATTTTTAAGAAAAAAATTAAATATAAAATGAATGCTGTAGTTTATGGCTATTTAAATATTGACGGCTCTATTACCGATGAAAATCAACCAAAAATAAGTAAAGAAGCCTTTGCCGTAATTAAAAATAAAAAAATTGAAGAAAAAGAATTTTTGGAAAAAACAACAAAATTAAACGAAAATGAAACAAAAACAACTTTAATCGAAAAAAGAAATTTATTTTTGGGGTAAAAATTAATTTTTAGAAATTAAAAAGGTTTATTTTTAAAGAAGTAAATGCCAGACATTTTATTCAGCAGACCCTTTTGTTGTTTCTAGGGCTTTTATGCAATATATTTTTGATGAACAAGGAAATCGTTTTATTGACTGTATTTCTAATGTTCAACGTGTGTTTTTTTAATTTTTAATTTCAAAAATATTTGAATATCTACGAGCAACTGAAAATTCTTTACCTAACGGATTGGTTAAGGTCTCTTCTTTAGAGAGAGAGACTGGTTAAGGTCTCTCATTTCCTCACTACTTAATTTATACAGTAGTCTCTCTTAACTAAAAAGAGAGACTCGATCAGGGCTGCACGCAAGTGCGGATTGCGAGTTGTGAAATTCTTTTCAATTGAGTGCAGCCTTGGACTTGATAGAATTGAAATTTTAACAAAATTTCCTACAAAATTTATTATATCTTTACAACCATAAATCCTTTTATAACCACCCCATTTGTAAAAACTACTATTACTAAATACTGTCATTTAGTATTAATAGAAGAAATAAATATTTCCTTAATATTTTTTAATTAAATATTTATAAAGATGTTGGTCATTGTCATCCACATGTTGTCCAAGCAATAGCAACCCAAAGTAGTTTATCTACTTGTAATATTCGTTTTGTTTCTCCAATTTTGGGAGAATGTTCGAAAGCTTTAATTAATACTTTACATCCTTCATTAAATACAATATTTTATTGTAATTCTGGTTCTGAAGCTAATGATTTGGCGTTACAATTAGCTAGGGATTGGACTGGGGGAAATGATGCTATTGTTTTAGAAAACGCTTATCATGGGCATATAACTACTGCGGTGAATTTTAAATTAGAAATGATAAGTATAAGAATGATATAGTTTGTTTAAAGATTTCTGATTAGATCAATATAGGTAGTTACAGCATGATAAATGCTCACAATCTTTGCTTATTATCTCTGTCCCTGTGTAAATTTCACGTGATGATTTGATCATATAAATTCTGTTTGAAATAATAATTAGCACATTAATCGAGATATCTGAGATATCATTATATAGGATAAGAATACAGTATGTAGATTTTGGATTAGAAAGATGATAGTATAATTTTTGAACATAAAGTTATGTATATAGCATGTTTAGCTAGGGATTGGACTGGGGGGAAATGATGCCATTGTTTTAGAAAACCATTTTAATCTGCAACCATTCGAATCTCTCCTTTCTTTTTCTGGACTTATTTTTTAGATTTATAAACTCTAATTTATTTTTTTAAGGCACAATTAAGTCCATATAAATCAGAACATGGTGCCAATATAAAAAGACCTGAATGGGCACATATTGTAAGTAACAAGAATTATCTATAAATTTCAAAAAAAATTTAAAAAAGGCCCCAACTCCAGATGTTTATAGAGGCAAATATCGTCTTTCAGATGAGGAACTTAATTCTCCAGAAGCTTTAAAAAATGCCGGAGAATTATATTCAAAAGACATTTCTGTATTACTTGAAGAATTAAACAAAAATGGAAGAAAATTGGCTGCTTTCTTTGCTGAGGCTTTGCAAAGTTGTGGAGGACAGATTATCCCACCTCCAGGATACTTTCAATCTGTAGCTAAAGAAATACATGATAATGGGGGTTTAATGATTGTGGATGAAGTTCAGACAGGGTTTGGAAGAGTTGGAGATACTTTTTGGGCACATCAATTATTTGGACATGGAGAGGAAGGTTGGAGGGAGGGGGTTTATAAAGAAAAAATACAGTTGATTCTCCTTTATAGCACTAAAAGTATAAAATCCAATCTAACGTGAAAGCTTCCCATAAAAATATAAATGAATATATCCATCCTATAGGTCAATTTCCTGTGATGAGGTTATAACGTCAATCAACTAAATTAATTATTTAAAAATAGATATCTATTCTATTCAATTTTAAGAATTTATTCCTGATATTTTAACAATGGGCAAACCAATGGGAAATGGTTATCCAGTTTCTGCTGTTGTTACTCGGAGAGAAATTGCAGATAAATTATGTGGAAATGCTGAATATTTTAATACAGTTATTTATTTATTTTTTAATAAATTAGAGTGGATAACTAAATAGATATTTTGAATCTCTCCTGTATTTTTTTAATTGGATAATTAATAATTATTGGAATTGTTTTCTCTTTTTCTATCCATTCTCTAATATTTTTAAAAAATTATTTTATTTTGATTTTTTTCAGTATGGAGGTAATCCAGTTTCTTGTGCCGCTTCTCTAGCAGTTTTACAAGTTATTGAAAAAGAGCATTTATTACAACATTCAAAACAAATGGGAATTTTGTTTAAACAAAAATTGGAAATATTAAAGTCTAAATATTTTTGTATTGGCGATATTAGAGGTGTTGGAATGTTTTGGGGTTTAGATTTGGTTAAATGTAGAAAAACAAGAGAACCAGCAACTAATTTAGCTGGGAAATTGGTAAAGAAATTATTTTGAAATTTTTGAAATTTGGATTGGGAAAAAGATAAAAACATTTAGAAAAAGTGAAAAATTTCTTAAATTATTTTTAAAAATAATTTTATTTAATTATTTAAAATTTTAAATTTAAGAATTATTTTAGAATTATGATTTTATTAAAAAATGGGAGCAGCCTATGTACCGCGAGCCCAGTGTACCGCCGAGTTATAACTTTCTTCAGCATTGCCGAATACGTGGCGCCCTGGTATGGTTCGATTCAGCTGGTCGAGCCGCATCGAACCATACCAGAGCGCCACAAATTCGACAATTTATAACAGTTATAGCTCGGCAGTACAATGGGCTCGCGGTACATCGGAGTGTACCCTTAAAAAATATATTTATCTGAAGTTCAAAACTAAGATTTTCCTTGAAAATCTAAAATTGTTATTTAAACCTCTTTAAAAGTTGATGGAGGGGGGAGAAGGGAGGAAAAGGTTTTATAAATTTATCAAATTGGAAATTCAATTGTTAAACATTTATTCTTATATTTTTAAACAAAAAAATATTTTTAATTAATTTTTAGATTTTAAAATTACGTAAAGAATATGGAATATTATTAAATGCAGATGGGCCTTTTGGAAATGTTTTAAAATTTAAACCTCCACTTTGTTTTAATTCTGATAATTTAGAAAACGTTATTAAAGCATTAGATGAATGTTTAAATGAATTAATTAAAGAAGAAGAAGAATAAAAAAAATTCTTTTTAATTTTATTTATTTAAAATATTTACATATTTTGTATTATGTTTATAAAATCTAAAATTAAAATGATTAATAATTCTTAATTATTCTTAATTAATTAATTTTTGGAAATTTTGTTTGTAAATCAAACAGAAAAAATAATAAAAATCAAAAAACCTACTTTTTTGTATTATTTTATAAAAATAAATTTAAATAATAAAATATAAATTTGAAACAAAAAATAACCCTTCTTATTTTGATAAAATAATTCTAAATAAAAATTAGCTTTAAATCCCATTTAAATTTTATTCTGTTTAATTATTTTTAAAAATAGGTTAAAAGAAAAATCATCTAAATAATAAAATAAATTTAAATTGTTTATTTTATTTAATTTATTTTTTCGGACTTTGAAATGCTCTGCGCTTTTTTTAAAAAATTATGTAGGATTAAAAAGATGGTTATTTTCTAATAATAATTCTCTCTGCGAGATATTTGTGTGCAAATAATTTTGCAAACAAAATAAAAATAAATAAAAATCAATTGAAAATGAAAATATTTTCCAACAATAAATATCCCCTAAATAAAATAGAAATTAATTTTTATTTTTTTATTTGGATTTTACATTCTTTAATAGCTTTTGTAATTTCTATATTCGTTTCTTCAAACCCTAAGAAAATCGGGAATTGGTTAAATCATTGGTTAGAACCTAGCAAGTTTGTTGTTTTGTTTAAAGTTTAAATTCTTCTTTAATTAACAATAATTATCTACTCTCTTTTTTTCTTCTCACATTTTAACAATTTATTTACACCAAGATGACCCTTTCCCAACCACCAAAAGGGGGCAAAAAGGTGGCATTGATGAAAATGGGGAACAAGGGGACGAAAAAGTCAAAAAAGGGGGCTAATGCCCCCTAAAGGTGGTGAAGGAGTCACCTTGACTTAAACCCATCATTTTATCCAGTTAAGATATTCTCCATTTTCAATTTAAAATTTATTTTCGCGCAGCTACCTTTAAATAATTTTAAAAAAGTCTGGAATACTCCAAATAAATGTTTGAAGAATAAAATTTCTGAAAAAGAGAATTTATTTCAAATAATCCTTCAAAATATATTTTTAAAAAATTATTTAAATTAATTTTTTATTTAATAAGAAATTATTTAATAAGAATATTTAATAAGAATTGAATTATTTATTTACTATTTTAAAAAAATATCAAAATTAAAATATTTAAATAGTTATATTTCCAATCATTTTATTGATAATTCTGATGTTGAATGGAAATTATATAAAATTGCTTTTAATTTAATTTTGACTACTTATGCCTTAAATTCAAGTAATTATTGAATATTAAAAAAAATTTTTTTTAAAGTTTCGTTAATTATTTTTAAAAGAATTAAATTAAATAAAGAAATAAAAACATTATTTATTTTAATTCCTTTTTGGATTGTTTTACATGTTAATTGGACTAGGTAATTAATGATTATTTTAATTGAAAAAATATAGATTTAGAGAAAATATATAACGGAAATTAAATAATAGACAAAGTAGTCGATCGGGGGTTTTAGTGATTCTTCGAGTATTTTGCCGATAAAATGTGTTTAATCCTTCCGGCCGGCCCTAATTAAAATATTTTTGTATAAGAGAAGAATTGTTGAAGATTGTAAAAAATAAAAATGGGTTAGGAATAGAGACTGGACCGAGACGAGATCTCGATTCTCCTACGACTCTCTCAGTCGATTCCTAGTTAGGAAGAATCAAAATAATAAAGAAAAAATACATAAAAGTAGAAAATTAAATACTAGTGATCTGACTGTACTACGGCCATATTTTTTTGTATTTATCAGTATTCCTTATCGCTAGTACGGTACGAAATTCCAATCAGTACTAAATAAGTAATCAAATAATAACAATTGGGAATTATTTTGTTGGAATTTCGAGTTTCTTTCAACCCATCTTCAGCTGCTTTAGCTCATCTCTAGAAAAATTAAAGGAATATTTTGTAAAAAAAGAAAAAAAAAATCTTTTAAATATTTTAATTTTAGTTTAAAATGTATTTTTGTAATCTCAACATTTTCTTTATTTATAATTTTAATTTCTTTATTAACCAAAAACCAATTATTTGGATGGATATTTAATTTAATATTTATTTTAAAATTTATTAATTTTATTTCTTTTTCTAATAAAGAACCTTCAAAATATTATTTAGAATTTAATTTGTATTTATATTCTTCTATTAAAGTAAAAATTATTATTTTTTAAAAGAGGGAAAAAGAAAAATGGCTGAAAAATTTAGAATAATTCTTTAGTTAATCCTTCTTTTTCTTAAATTTAAAGAAATTGGGTTTTGAAAAATTTTTTAATTAAATACAAGCATTTAAAAAAATTTTTTTAACAAAAAATAACAGGAAAATAAGGATTTTAGTCTAAGCAAAATTTGGCTGAGATTTTTCGATTTTTGTGAAAAAATTTCTTCAATATCAACAAATTCCGTTAAATAATTTTAATTTATTTTTAATTTCTAGTTAATTAATTTATCAATTTATTTGAGTAAATATAAAAAGAATTTTGATTTAAATTTATTCTGTGATATATTAATTTATTTATTTTATCCTCCTTATTCAATCAGTTTAATTGTTTTGTTTGAGGTATTTTTATATTTAAGGGGGAAGTTAGAAAAGAAGTTTTGGATATCCGAAAAGCAGAGGTCAATCGGAATTCCGATTTCCGGGTTCCGACTTTTGAGCCATTTCCGATTTCCGGCACCTTCGCCATTTCCGATCGACCTCTGCCGAAAAATTAGAAGTGGGGGTAAACGAAGTTTTTGTTTAATATCGGGGACAGAATTCACAGCAGGGATTCTTTAAAAAATTATTGGAGAAAGGGGTCGGATTGAAATTAAATTTTGGATATAGAAATTTTTTTTGGAATTCTCGTTTATATTTGGATTGACAGAAAATTTTAAAAACTTTTTTATTTCAACAAAAAATATTTTCTTTTAATTTTAAAGGATTTTCAAAAACAATTTAAAGATAATTATTTATTTAATTCTGAATTATTATTTACTACAAATTATTTAAAAATTTTATTTAAAACAATTTTAAAACTTTTTTGTTGTTTTGGTTTATTAGAATTATTATTACATTTATGTAGAGTTAATGCTTTATTTAATTCTCCTTTTGTTATGCTACAAAATTTTAATAATTATGAATGTAAAGTTTAAATAATTATTTAATTGGGAGTTAGGGAGCTAAAATTTGGGAGCTTATTGTCCTTGTTAATTAATAAAAAAATTAGTTCTTTTAAAAAATAAATAGAAAATAAAATAAAAATTTTTAATTTTAAACCTACATATTTCTTGAGTGAAAATCTGATAAAGTTTTCTTTAATTGATATTCGAGTGATTAAATTTTTGTTTAATTACTCGAAGGAACATAAACATTAACATTGCTAAATTCCATTTAGTACCGATCTGTACAAAATTTCATTCTCATAAAACTCTTCATTCCCCAAAACTCCAGCCCTTTAAGATCACTTTTTAGAAAGTAATTTTAAATAATAATCATTTAAAATAATTAAAAATAATGCATAAATATCAATTTCATTTAACTTTTAGTAGTTTCAATAGCCTATGTAGCTGGTCAATTATTTCATCTAAAATATTATTTAATTTTTGGTATTCCAAGTATTTTTGCTAAAATTGATGGAATGCAGACAAATCCCTCACCAATTTGTATTTCACATGTTGCTAAATATTCTCAAATGTGGAGATATTTTGATAGAGGACTTTATTTATTTCTTAAAAATCAGGTAATAAATTATGTGTGGAATTAGTGGAAGAATTTTGGTAGGGGGAAAGTAAAAAAGTATCAGGATTTTCTTTAAATAATTGTCTTACAAAGTAGAGTGCCTGGGGTGTCTGCAGGACTTGGCATGAAATCTGGTAGACAGGTAGATCATACCCTACCTTAGTTATGAAATCCCCGAAGTCCCGTGGACACCCCAGGCACTTTCCTTTGTTAGTGTATTCTTTCTGAAAGATCATAATGTTTGTAACTTTAATTAAAATATTTTTGCTCTAAGGTGGAACACTAATTAGACATTTAATTTGAGAGATCCCTCAATTTTTTAAATTTAAAAATTTTATTTTATTTATTTTCAGCTTTATATTCAATTAATAAATTACCAATTTAATTGTAAATATCAAAAATTAAATTTTTATTTAAATTTTCCAATATTCCGTAAAATACTAGCTACTTTATCTGTTTTTATTTTTGTTCTTATTTGGCATGGATTTAATTCTAATTTTTGTTGGTGGGTTTCTCTAAGTGCTTTTGGACTTTTTATTGAACGTTTGGCAAATTCTGACATATTTTTATTTAATAAATTTATTCAAAAAAATATTTTATTAAAAATGTCATTAGCAGCAAATATTCGATTAAAGGCTATTTTTATGTTGACAACTTTAATTCCTGGTTAATTATTAAATTCTTTTGAATAAGAGGGGGAATTTTTTGTTTCTACTTTTATGTAAAAAAAGCCATGCCCCCTATCAGAGACCAAGGGGGCATCTGGTCAGTCCTCAGACCCGGAAATTACTCGTTTTGAATTACAGTTATAGGAAGGGAGGGTGTTGGGAGATATGAATTTTAATCATTTAAATGTAAAATTGTCCGTAAAAACCCATTAATTTTAATAAAATTTAAGGAATATTTGGAATTTTCTTTTTTCTTGGACATGGATTAATTGGAAATTATATTTTCTTTAAAGTACTTATAGAAGGATTTAAACAAATTTTTACTTTACAAATTTATATTGGAAATCCTGGATGGGTAATGGGACATTTACTTATTTTGGGTTATTTCTTTAATAATGTTTCGCTTTTTATTGAAGAAAAAAGGAAAGAAAAATAATTATTAATTTTTAAAGATTTATCTCATATACATATTTTCATACATATAAACTAGGGTAGCTTCCCGAGCCCTCGGGGTCTGAAGTGTCAGGGATCGGGGTTTGCCGAAAGGGCTGATTTTTGGGTTGATTTTTGGGTCGGAGTTCGTCGTAGTAGAGCCTTCGGGGTTTCGAAAATCGTCGGGGTACGGGCAGCTACCCTAATATAAACAAATTCTTACATAAGTCAATTTTAGCAATTAGATAATATCACAGGGTTTAAATAAAATAATTATTATTTAATACAGCAAGTGAAAAGAAAATAGGTACTTATATAATGCTTGGAAAGATATTTAAGCAATTAAAGTTTTTTGATAATAAATATTTATAGAATCTTAAAATTGAGCTATACAAGCAAAGGAATAAAGAGAGAGAAGGTTTTAGATTAGTGTTTCACCGGAACCGAAATTTTGACTGTAACCAGATCCAATTTAAGTTCCGGTTCGCGGAACCGGGACCAAAAAAAACACCGGAACTTCCAGTGAAACTCTATTTTAGATATAATAAATATTGCTTTTTTTAAAAGAAGGGGTATTTTCAACAATAAAAACAAAATATTTTCTTCAATTTTTCTTCCCCTTTTTTTCTTTTTTTAATTCCCATTCAGTCAATATATTTTCATATAAATTCCCCCATTCCCATTTTTGCGATTCAGAATTAGGACTACAAGGATTCATAAAAACTTCACCTGTAGAAGAATCACAATCCAAACATAAAGAAGTTAATACATGAATTAATTGTTTAGTTTTTGGTTGATATTTAAAATGCTAAAAAGAATTTCTAGATTTTTAAAAATTTTCAAAAAAAATTTTTGCCTGATTTCCTTTCATTCCATGACAAGCAAACAATGTAATGGAGGCTTTTGGTTGATTTTGGGCAACATCAAAACACAAATTCCGTCCTTTAGGTCGAATATCTTCCCAAAAAGAGAAACGAAAATCCTTAAATTTTGTTGATTGAAAGATTATTTGGATTGCTCCATTTTATATATAAAAAATTTTTATTTAAAAAGCATCAACAAAAAAATTAATTTTAACTAAAAAATATTTTTTAATGAGAAAATATATTAGAGTTCGAATCGGGACGGGATCCGGGTCTAGATTTTCGGAATCCGGTAGTCCCGATCCGAGTTTTTGATAAAAATCGGGATTTTGATCTCGAAAATCCGGTGCGGATCGTGCCAAAAAAACCCTGATCCGGTCCGGGCCCTTATAAAAAAAATTTGTAAATCAGAAACAGGACCCGACATTTTCCAAATTTCGAACTCTAAAATATAATATAATATTAAAAATTCCTTTTAATTTTTTTCACTTTATTCTTATGATTTTCTTTGGTAATCAAAAAATTCCTGAATCTCTATTTACTTAATAGGGTAACTCCATTAATTATTTATTAAATATATTTTTAGGGAGAAGAGTTTGTGAAAAGTTCTCTTTAATTTTTAATATTTCTTTTTAAATTAATTTTTAAAATTAAAAAATCCCAATTTTTAACCTGTTCTCCTCTAACAGAACTATCTTCACTTTTACATTTTTCCAACTTCAATTTAGAACCAGTCCCTTCATATCCAGTATCCACACATTTTTTGGCTGCTAAATTCTTTAATTCTCCTTTAAAAATTAATTTAATTTATTAAAAATTATTTAAAAAACCGTTAGCTCCATCTGGGGGTTCTACAGCTGGATAAAAATATTCTTGATCAAAAGCAATTTCCTTCATAAACCAATCAAAGGATTTACATTTAAGTCTTTCTCTAACTGCTTTTTGTTTAGTTAAATCACCTAAATTTTTGTTTAATTATTAATTAAAAAAAAATTATTTTTTATTTAAATTCGAGAGCAGGCCAACTTACCGCAGAGCTATAACTTCGTTCAGAATTGTCGAATCCGGGAGCCCTGGTATGGTTCGATTCAGCTTGTCGAGGCGCATAAGAAGGCATCCCGGATTCGACAATTTTAAACGAAGTTATAGCTCTGCGGTAAGTTGGGCTCGTTGTAAGTTGGGGTGTACCATTTAAATTCAATTTCGATAAATTACTTTAAATTCCCAAATTAAAAAAATTCAAAAATTAAAAAAACCTTCATCTGCCGTTTCCAATGCCGGTCTTCTCTTATATAAATGTTTTTTATATTCATCCATCCAAACTTCTGCTACACGACGATAATTTCTTGAAATAAAATCTCCAACACCTGGATTACTTTAAATTGGGAATTTTTTAATTTTAAAATTTTCAAAAAACTAACGGAAAGGGAATATATTTGCATCTATAAATATGCCCAACACGAGAACAGGGAGCATCTACTAATTGTCCATGACATTGCCAAATTTTAAAACTTAATTCATATTGTTCTCCTCCCCAAATATCCAAACCTTCATCATAACCTCCCAATTCCCAAAACCATTTTGTACTTATTGCAAAATAACCACCAGCCATTACTGGACTCTTAAATGGTTTTGTTGGCGATTTTAAATCTTCTTCAGTTAATGGTAGACGTTTATAATTAAATTCCCAATCGAATGAACCTTAAAAAATGAATTGAAAAAGGATTAAAACAATAATCTAGTTAGTTGAAAATATATGGGAATAATAAAATATTGAAAAAAACTAATGTAAGAAACCTAATAAAAATTAGGAAAAACTACGAAAAGACTACCTAAAAGTTAAAAAGAAAAATTATGGAATTTACATTTTAGAGAATTTTTACTGATTCTCTTAAAAATCTTTAATTTATTCAAAAATAAATTAAAACAGGGTTACGATTCCTACTTTTTTAAAAGTATTCTACTTTTAAATCGACCTCCATGCTTACGAAATTGAATTTATACTTTTTTGAAAGTATATACTTTTTTTTGATTGAAAATGAAATTGGGGAAGGGATTGGGCAAAAAAGTGAATTTTTTTGGCCTACGGCCTTTGAAATTCTCAAAATTTTCGCCTGCGGCGCTGAAAATGGAAGAAATCTATCTTCTTGGGCTCTAAATTTCAAAAAATTTTCGCCTGCGGCGCAAGAAATTGAAGAAATCTGGCTTAAGGACTTCCGAAATTCTCAAAATTTTCGCCTGCGGCGCAAAAAATAGATTTTTTGGCGCCTTCGGCGCCAAAAAAGGTGCATTGAAATTGACAAAATGCTCAGTTGAAACAGGAAATTATTAGAAAAGATTCATTTAGGAGAGAAATATAAAAGATTTGAGGACGAATAAATATTTTCTAATTTAATTTTGAGACTACTTTTTTTTTGCAAATTTTCTCCCTATATACTTTTTTATCGAGATTTTGATACTTTTGAGTGGCATTTTGTCGATCGTAACCCTGAATTAAAACAAAGAATAAGCAACAAAAAGATAATCAAGGTTTCAAATATAATAGTATAAGAAATTATGGCTCTATGTGAAAGGAGTGCCGGGATCATATTTTTCCGTATTTACATGATTATTTTTTAAATTTATTTTTCCTTAACCAAAGACAATATTTTTCTTTTAATTTTTTCACTAGTGCGTGTAATAATAATTTAACTCTAACAAAGAGAGAGAGACTAACACAAATCTTTAATTTATCAGAGAACCCCTAATTATTTTTATATTTTATTTATTTAAAAAAAACCTCTCGCTCCTTCATCCTGTGCTCTATATTCATAAGTATCACAATCAATTACATCCACAAAAGGACAAACAACAGTTCTATAATTTAAAGCAATCGGTTCAATTAATGGAGGTAACCAATTATAATTAGCTTCAGAATGGGCATCCAAAAAAATAATAATTTCAGCATTAGCAGCACGAGCACCTATAGCCCGGGCACGAATTAAGCCTTCTCTTTTACTAAAAAAGAATTGTAAAAAATGTTAAATAATGAAGGTAGAAGAGGTATGATTACAATTTACTAAATTGAATTTAATTCCAATTACACAAAATTTTCACCTAAGCCTATCAGAAATGTAAACAGGGAAAGAGGAAGTCTTAGAATGCACTTCCATGTCGGAAACAGAAATTAATTTCTCTCGTATATAGGGGAGTTCAAGCGTTACTAATTTTCGCAAACTTTGAAGCCCCATAACTTTTTAGTTTCATATTCCTAGCCAAAAATCTTCAATCTAAACAAAAAGTATAAGGAATTTTTTATTAACGGGGGATAACTCCAACTATAAAAAAAGTAAAGAAATTACCTTGTTCTAACAACTTTCACAATATTATCCAAACTTTTAGCTTTCCAATGTTGTTCAAAAGGTTCTTTCAATTCTGGTTTTGTACTAGAATCATCCACAAAAATAATTTCTTTAAGAACATCAGAAGGTGATCTATTAATTATCGAATATCCACTTCTCAACAATGTTGAATAATGCTTGAAAAAAAAATTTTTTGTAGAATTAAAAACAAATTTAACTAACTTCATCATGAAAAGGCAAAATAACCGAAACAGAAGGAAGTCTTTCAATATAAATTTTTGTTTTACATCCAGGATGTCTAATATCTTTAACACTTCTATCCAATGCAATATGGTCACTGACATAGGCATTATATCCATTTGCACGGTATAGAGTATCCTTGAATCGAGAAAATAAAAATATTACTAAAAATTAAAGTTGTTGACGACCGGTTATTAACCGGTACTCCCAGTTTTCAGTTAATCTAAATTTTAGAAACCCGGTTTTCGGTATTGAATTTTAGGCAAATACCGGTTTATTTTTGGGGGAATTTTAAATAAAATCACTCATTTTCACAGATTTCCGGTATTTAAAATTTTCTAAAACCGGTTAATTTTTGAAAAAAAATTTAAAAATTCCGGTTTTAAAACCGGTCGCCAACAACCCTAATAAAAATCTTAAATTGAAAAAATACTATTTGAATATAAAAAAAATTAAATTAAAAAATACCAAAATTTTTTCCAAAGTCTGATTATTTTCTTTTTTAACAACAAATCCTTTGCCAACCTCCCCATTTCCTTCCCTTTTCTGCTCCTTTTCATAAAAACTTTTATCTAGCCAATCCTTCTTTGGAAGAGATCTATAAGACAAAAAAGGATCAACACCATCAGCTAAAAAAATAAAATATTTATTTAAAAATTCAAAATAAACCTGCAAATTTTTGAGAATTTTCTTTAATTTTCACACGTTCAACAGTAACTGTTTTGTAGAAATATATTAGAAAAACAATAAATACAGCATAAATAAAAGTATATAATAAACGTCTGGGCAAATAACGAAAAATTAAACGAAGTTTTCTTTTGTGTTTCATTGAAATCTAAAATATTTTTTTTAATTTTTTTGAAATTTTAAGGGGAAATTTTAAAGGAATTAGGAGTAAAAATTGTTTAAGCTCAATTGTTAGCAATGAATTGATAACAATCGATTGCTTACAAGCAATGACAACAAAGGAAATTTTATTTGAATTTTTTATCGTCATCCACGTTTTAAAATGTGTGATACGCAAAAAGCAAAAGAATATAAAAATAAACTTATTGAGGCTTAAAACCTTCTAAAAAAACATTTTTTTAAAAACATTTCCTTATTTTAAAAATTCAAAAACTTTATCAATTTGTTTATCAAAAGTTAAAAATTAATTTAAAAAATTAGACAAAAATAATAATAATTTAAAAACCCTGAAATGTAACAATTTTTAATTAAAGAAAGGCGCTTATGGTGGAAATTGAAATAAAATACAAAAATTATTTAAAAAGATTATTGAAGAAGAATATAAAAAATTAGTAAAATTTAGAAAAATATATGGATTTTAGGAAACAAAATTTTTTAAATATTTTATGATATACATTATTTGAAAAAGAAAATAAATACTTAGTTAGTAGATTAAGTGATGTTAAAACTACATAATCGTTCAAAATTAAAAAAAATATTTTTAGATTTTTGAAAACCCCAGAAAAGTTATAACCTATCTTTTTTCAAGTTAGAGAATTAAAAAATTAGGTAAAGTGGTAAATAATCCAACATAAAAAGAGAATTATTAGGAAAGTTTAAATGGCAGTTAAAATAAAAATTATTAGATATCTTTCAAAAAACTTCAAACCATTAAGCATTGAAACGAGTTTTACTTAAAACACTATCTCCATATGGAACGCGTGTGTTGAGCAAAGCAAAATCGATCATACGTTCACCAGTAATACGAGGAATGTATTGAGGAGCAGTTCTAAAAATTGGGAATTTAAAAAAAATATTAGAGAAAATTAACCGTTTCATCTCCACATAATTATTACTTCCTCGTTTTGCAAGTTCCTTCGCTTGTAAAACAGGTGACGGAAGAGCAGGCGGCATATTAACAATCTGCCACATGTTGCACAGTCCAATGATAAACGCTTGCAATTCGTCATTATTAGCCTTGATCTCATTGATTGGGATCATGTATTGAGGAATCTTTGACGTGCCCTAAAATTGATTTTGTAACAAATATTTTAAAAATATAGTTAAAACCTTTAGTGGATGATGAGCCTGCAAAAAGAATTCATGCAGATCCACACGGACGAACTTCTTATCAATGACTGAACCCGGTTTAGGGTTGCGATTTGGACCAGTGTTTAAGAAAAAGCGTTTTGTATGGCGCTTATCAACAATAACGAAGACAAATTTTGGAACCCATCCTTGGTTAATGCTTCTAAACGTCTCAATAATTCGCGAGAATTCTCCATTGACAGCCTGAAAAAATTGAATAATAAAAAACAAAAGTTGAAGCTTCTAACCTTAGGAACCATTCCCTCACTGATTCCATCGCGAATGATGAAAATAGTTGAAGGAAGTTGTTTTCGGTTAGCTTTCAAAGTGCTAACAATCCATTTGATACGCTCTCCAAAATAATCAACATCAAGAACATCTTGTTTACAAGGCTGGTAAAGGTAATCGCCGACAAATTTTGAAGGATTAGCCAAATAGTTGCCGCAATACTGAAAATAATAATTTAATATTTTAAACTATACAAACCCCAACAGTCAAAGGATCTTCCGAAGTAAATCCTTCCATTCCTTGTTTGCTTAATTTGAATTTCTCAAAAGCAGTAGCTCTGGGTGGACGAGAAGTATCAATGCCAAGAACAAGAATCTGACCAGAAGCAATGTCAAGCTTATTTTTGCTTAAAATTAGAAAGAATAACAAAAATATTATCATAAATTCTTACGTCACAGGATCAAAGAGAGGCATATAGTTCAAACCAAAAAGCCTAAAATGTTTTTTTATAAAAGATAGTTAGATAATACTCACTTCATATTCATTTTGGCAAGAACATTGCTGACGGAAGCTGGCCCGGCCTTGCTAACCATCTCAATGTTGACATGTTGCGTAAGCACAGTATAACGACGTTCACAAAGTTTCAGTTTTGCTTAATTAAGAAAAAGTTAACATAAGCAAATAAATTTAATTTTTAACGATTACCATGAGATTTAACAAAACGCTCATCAATGTAAAGAACAAATTGAATTTTTGCCTTCGAAAACTCAGCAAAACGTTGTTCCATAGCATTGACCTCAAGATTCTCAAAAACAGGTTGAGGCAACTTCATTCCACGCTGATTAGCCATTCGTTGAATATCGCCAATAAATTTACTAAAATAAAAAATATTTTAACTAAAATATAAAAAAATAAAAACTTGAATGAATCCTGTGTTACTCTTCGAGGAAAAGCCACAATCCAAGAACGAAGAACATCAGAAGGCTCCAAATAACGAAGAGGTCCACGAATGTCAAAACTACCCTAAAAATATTAAAAATTTTATTTATCGGAGATAGAAGTTGGACTCAAACCTTATCGTTTTCATTTGGATTAGCTGTTTGATTATTCCCAAACCGGATAACCGGTAAGCTTCGCTGACCAATTTGAACGTTGTTTTGATCACCTCGAAGTTTGACACCAAAATGAAACATAAATTTGGCACAATCACCATCTCTTCCAATTTGTCGCATTACATCTTTGATCATTTCACTACGAACATCAGGTCCAACAGCATTTGCCTAGAAAATCCAAAAATATACGAAGGAAAAGCCTGAAATACCTTAAGAAGATCGCTCGAAATTTGAGCCATTTCATCAGTCAGTTGCATCTTATCTATAGATACGCGCTGGAAAGGCAAGATCTCAAGACATTGGAGAGGATAAAGTGCCTAAAGTTCAAATGTTAAGTAACATTTACAACTTATAAATATCTCACATCACGATCAACATGTTGACGCACGGCAGGCATGTTTCCTTCAATTCGAACATTTTTCTTTTCAGCAAAATATTGCATCATTGGAATGTTGCGGCCATCAACTTCAAAACTATAAAGAGATTTAAGCGATTATTCAAAACAAATTTAAAAACCTAATTTCAGAGACAAGCCGAGCAGTGATAGAATCAATAACAATGACTCGTGAAGGCGCATAAGTCAAGTAAGCACTAACTCCTTTGAAGAGGTGGCCAAAATCCAACCAAAAGCTTTCCATCGCTTTACGGTCGTTTGTTCGGAGAGGGTTTCTACGACGATTCATGGCAGACTGAACCATTCCTCTTGCAATATCCCCCAAATTCCCTTTCGCAAAGAATGCGCAAGTTTTGACTAAAAATAAAATATGAAAGCTAACTAAAGTAAGAAAATTTTACCATCAGCAACAAGCGCAGGACAAGGCTTAACATCACCATTAACAATGATACGAACACCCTTTGCCACTCCATTATGTGCAGTGATAGCATCGTTTAATCGCTTAGCCACTCTTTCTTCAAAAAGTCGACCAGGTCCAACTAGTCGATGCGAACGACTAAAATAAGATAACTCGATTATTTGAAAATTAAAAAAGCTTTTTAATATTCGTGATTTCAAGTAAACATTTTTTATAATTAAAGTATAAGAGGAAAATAAACAGACGAATAAACCAATGGTAAATTCCGATGAGAAAAATAAATTAAAAAGATTACGCATTGATGAAAGACTGAGACGTCAGCATCTCAAAAAATGTACGAAGAGAATGATCCGCTTGTATGTGAGGCGCAGGACAAAGCGCCGATGGAATGTCGTTCAAATTCAATTCATGACTTGAACCTTTGCATGGCTGCAACTCAAATGTGATTGTTGCATTGTACAAAAATTTCCTGCAAAATTCACTCATTCGGTCTGGCGTGATCTCGCACGTCTAAAATTTAGAAAAATAAAAATTGAAGTCTTAAATAAAACAAAACCAAAGCAGGAACACGGCAATTTGTGAATAATATTTTTCGGTTGTCGTAAACAAACAAAACCTGCATAAAAAATTTCAACCAAATTTTAAAATTAAAATTACCTTTCCATTACTGCCAAAACCTTGGGTATTCTCAAAAACGTGTGTTACCAATTCGAAGCAGATATCCCGAAGAAGTCCTTTCTTTCCATCATCTCCACCACCTTTCGTTAGACTTTTGTTTTTAACCTTATCAGAAAGCTCCACATCGTATCGATAAACCATCACAACACCAGGCTTAACGTCAAACCTAAATTGATTTTAAATTATTTTCAATACTTTTATTTTTAATTCTTACGTGTAAATATTGGCCAAACCTTCATTGTTTTTAATAAACTGAGTTGCTTGTGGTGGAATATTCTGAAAAATAATTTTCTAGAGATTTGGATTTATTGGCTTACCGCAGCAGCTCGAATGGTATTGACCACTTGAGACAAATCTGCTGGCATTTTGGTGACGATAAGAAATTTTAATGAAAAATTTAAAAATCAATAATCCACCACTGAAAATTAAGTTAAAAATATAGAATTTTTATGGCCCTTCAGTTAGCTTTATTGGAAATGTAGAGTAAATTAATGTTCCAAAAACATAAAATTAAATTTAAATAATTTGTTACATAAATTTACTTTTAAATAAATCGCAACTGGTTGTTGCGTGAATATCCCAAACCTATTTACATACTAAGGGAGGGAGGAGCTATTAATGTCACCGCTCATTTCCACAGATTAAAATTAATCTGAGAACGTATTAACGCAAAAACAAACTTTTTATGCGTGAAAAGCAGGGAGAACAAAAGAAAAACAAATTCCTTTGATTTTCCACAAGTTTTAATTTTAAAGTTATCTAATTGTAAGTAATACTTAAAAAACACATCTGATTAAATCTTAGCCAGTCTTTAATCTATTCCTTTTTTTAAATAAAATTTACAAATTCCGTTTTGCAATCTATTTTTACAAAACATTCAGAAATGGAAATATAAATGTTCTTAACCTATGTAAGCGAATGGAGAAGGTCATCGACTAAAAATAATAGTAAAGACCCTGCTTGGGTAATGTGAATGCAACATCAAATATCGACCAAAGAATGGGCGTTCTGTCTAATGGAAGGAAAAATATGTTTGGAAAAAACAAAAAAGCTTAAAGATAAAAAAAGGAAAATGGCAAAAAATGAAGCAATTTGCGTTAGGGAAATTTTTTTGATTTTTTAAATACGATTTAACGAAAACTAATTTCAATCAACTTGTACCCTGTTTACCCTTAGGTTGAGAAGTCAAACCTTTCGGATGACCAAATTATTTAGGAATTTAAAAGTATATATTATCTTTAGAGATAAGAAAAACTATTCAAGAAAATTTGATGTCCAGATAATTTATCCTCAATAAACAAAAAATAAAGAAAAACAAAAATATTTTGCAGTATTGTAGGGTGTTGTTCCGTAGTAAAATCAAAAATATACCTAGTTTTTTAAATTTATAAAGAAATTTTATAGATTCACTATCAGGCCTAAAAAAAGGATTAACACCCGGTTAAATAATGAACGAGGAAAATCTTTTAAAATCAAAAGTACAGGGTGTTTCAACAGAAAAGCCCTTTTTGAAAAATTAATATCTTTTTACTGCGTGGATAGATTTTTACGATATTTGGTATTTTATACCTATAATTTATAAGGTTTTTTTTGGCATAAAAATTATGTCGAAATTCGAACCCTAACCCATTATTTCAATTTCGTACTCTACCGTTCTCTTTTCTTTCTATTTTCTTTGTGTGCTATCTTACTTCATTTATTTTCCTGTGTATGGCGAAGAGTAGATACTGTATTGAAAATGTAGTGTCTATCGCCTAGTGTTTACTCTATTGTCTTTCGCCGCTCGTAGCAAACAAAAGGGAGTAAGAACGCATGTGGGGAAAAAGGGAAAAACAGAGCGGTAGAGTACGAAACTATCTCGGATTAGGGTTCGAATTTAGACATAATTTTTATGTCAAAAAAAACCTTATAAATTATAGATATAAAATACAAAATATCCTTAAAATATGTCAATATTGAAAAAAGTTATTAATTTTTCAAAAAGGGCTTTTCTGGTGAAACACCCTGTAAATGTCATTTTATAATATAATATAAAGAATTTTAACCATACCATATCAACATAAAATAACTCTCTATAATAAACTTCAAGTCTCCAATATCCAAATTAAGCATTAAAACGAGTCTTAGCCAAACCAGTAGTTCCATAAGGAACACGCTCATTAAGCATAGCAAAGTCAATAATACGTTCTCCAGCAACACGAGGAATGTATTGAGGAGCATTTCTGAAAATTAGAAGTGATTGTGAGACCATTAGAAAGGAATTTTAATTTGTACTAACCGCTTCATCTCCATATAATTATTACTTCCACGCTTCGCAAGCTCTTTTGCCTGTAAAACAGGTGACGGAAGAGCAGGCGGCATATTAACAATCTGCCACATGTTGCAAAGACCAAGAATGAATGCCTGTAATTCGTCATTGTTAGCCTTGATCTCATTGATTGGGATCATGTATTGTGGAATCTTTGCAGTACCCTAAAAATACTTTTTTATTATTAAAAATATTAAAATATGGTTAAAACCTTCAGCGGATGATGCGCTTGCAAAAAGAACTCATGAAGGTCGACACGGACACACTTCTTATCGATGACCGAGCCAGGTTTACAATTACGAATAGGGCCATTGTTGAAGAAAAAGCGTTTTGTATGGCGCTTATCAACAATAACGAAAACAAATTTTGGCGACCATCCTTGCTCGACGCTCTTAAATGTCTCAATAATTCGCGCGAATTCTCCATTGACAGCCTGATAAAAATTGAATAAAAAATAAATAAATTGCAACATACATTAGGAACCATCCCTTCACTAATACCATCGCGAATAATAAAAATAGTAGATGGAAGTTGCTTCCGGTTCGTCTTGAGATAGCCAACAATAGACTTAATTCTTTTTCCAAAATAATCGACATCCAGAACGTCCTGTTTGCAGGGCTGATAAATGTAGTCACCAACAAATTTAGCAGGATTTGGCAAATAATTGCCACAATACTAAAAATAACAAATTAAATAACTTTTAATAGTAATACAAACCCCAATAGTCAAAGGATCCTCCGAAGTAAATCCTTCCATTCCTTGCTTGCTTAATTTAAACTTCTCAAATGCAGTAGCCTTCGGTGGACGAGAAGTATCAATACCAAGAACCAGGACTTGACCAGAAGAAAGGTCAAGCTTATTTTTACTTGAAATCAAAAATATTATAGACAAAATTTAAAAAATCCTACGTCACAGGATCAAAAATAGGCATATAGTTCAATCCAAAAAGCCTAAAAAATGACCATTTATTAATAACACTTTAGGTATCTCACTTCATATTCATTTTGGCAAGAACATTGCTGACAGAAGCTGGCCCAGCCCTGCTAACCATCTCAATATTAACATGTTGAGTAAGTACAGTATAACGACGTTCACAAAACTTGAGCTTTGCTTAATAAAGAAAAAGCTAACATAAGCAAATAAATTTTTAATAATTACCATGGGATTTGACAAAACGTTCATCAATGTAAAGAACAAATTGAATTTTTGCCTTAGAAAATTCAGCAAAGCGTTGTTCCATAGCATTGACTTCAAGATTCTCAAAAACAGGTTGAGGCAACTTCATTCCACGCTGATTTGCCATTCGTTGAATATCGCTGATAAACTTGCTTAAATAAAATTTCTTTAATCGTCATGAAAAAAGACCGTACTTCAAACTGTCTTGAGTAATTTTTCGCGGAAAAGCAACAATCCAAGAACGAAGGACATCAGAAGGCTCCAAATATCGAAGAGGACCACGAACATCAAAACCACCCTTTAATAAAATATTAAAATGTTTACAATCTGTATATCTATAGGTATATTGGCCATGCTTCGAGTAGTAATAAAATAAAGTGACGAGAAAAATTAAACTCAAACCCTTTCGTTATCATTTGGATTTGCTGTAAGATTATTCCCAAACTGAATAATCGGCAGTTTACGCAGACCAATTTGAACGTTGTTTTGATCTCCACGAAGTTTGACACCAAAACGATACATAAATTTGGCACAATCACCATCTCTTCCAATTTGTCTCATTTGCTCCTTAATCATTTCACTACGAACTTCAGGTCCAACAGCATTAGCCTACAAAATTCAAAAGTATACGAAGCAAAACAATAAAAAACCTTAAGAAGATCACTCGAAATTTGAGCCATTTCATCGGTCAACTGCATCTTATCCAAGGATACACGCTGGAAAGGCAAGATTTCGAGGCATTGAAGCGGATAAATAGCCTATTTAAAAAAAATAAAGACAAAAAATTTTATTTTCTCACATCACGATCGACATGTTGACGCACGGCAGGCATGTTTCCTTCAATTCGAACATTTTTCTTTTCAGCAAAATATTGAATCATTGGAATGTTGCGACCATCAACTTCAAAACTATAAAAAGATTTAAGCAGTTATTCAAAACAAATTTAAAAACCTAATTTCCGAAACAAGCCGAGTAGTGATAGAGTCAATAACAATGACTCGTGAAGGCGCATAAGTCAAGTAAGCACTAACTCCTTTGAAGAGGTGGCCAAAATCTAACCAAAAGCCTTCCATCATTTTACGGTCGTTTGAACGGAGAGGATTTCTACGTCGATTCATGGCAGATTGAACCATTCCCCTTGCAATATCACCCAAATTCCCTTTCGCAAAGAATGCACAAGTTTTGACTAAAAATTTTAATTAATATAAATAATTAAGAAATAACATACCCTCAGCAACAATAGCAGGAACTGGTTTATCTCCACCATTAGCAATGATACGAACACCCTTTGCTACTCCACGATGAGCAACAATAGCATCATTCAATCGTTTAACTTCCTTTTCTTCAAAAAGTCGGCCATTTCCAACCAAACGATGTGTACGACTGAAATAAAATTAAGCTATTATTTTGAGTAGTTAAGTTTGATTTACGCATTAATGAAAGACTGAGACGTCAGCATCTCAAAAAATGTACGAAGAGAATGATCCGCTTGCATATGGGGTGCAGGACAAAGCGCTGATTGAATGTCGTTTAAATTCAATTCATGACTTGACCCTTTGCACGGCTGCAACTCAAACGTGATTGTTGCATTACGAAGAAATTTCCGGCAAAATGGCGTCATACGTTCAGGCTTAATCTCACAAGTCTAAAAAATAGAAATTCCATCCAAATATTTAGAATTAGGATTGTTCCCCGTCTCCAAGTCAGGGAATTTGACCTTTTGGAAATTCTAAACATTCCTGAGGCCATTCGCCGTCCCAGGTCCAGGCCGAATTCAAGGTCCAAGTCGAATTTCCAAGTCAGATTCTCTGACTTGGGGACGGGGACCTAATTAGAATGGTTAAAATAACCCTAGTTAAACCTTAATTATGAAAACTAACCAAAGCAGGAACTCGAAGATTTGTAAACAAAATCTTGCGATTGTCATACACAAACAAAACCTAAAGAATTAAAGTTGTATCACTTATTATATTTATATACCGTTCCATCGCAGTTCAGGTTTTGAGTACTATCGAACACATCTTTGACAAGTTCGAAACAGATGTCCCTCAAAAGTCCCCTTTTCCCATCATCTCCACCGCCTTTTGTTAAACTTTTATCCTTGACCTTATCAGAAAGTTCAACGTCATAACGGTAAACTACAGCATCCGGCTTGACGATAAACCTGAAATTTAGCTAGTATCAGTAATTTAGATAAGCGTGTTACCCATAAATATTGGCATAACCATTTTGAGTGCTCAAAAACTGTGACGCCGGCGGAGGAATATTCTGAATTAAAGGAATTTTATCTAGCTTTTATGTACTCTTACCGAAGAAACTTTAAGACTGGCCACATATGAAGCCAAGTCCATTTCAGACAAATTTTAAAAGAAAGCAATAAACAAAAATTAAACCAATCTAGAGCGCAAACCTAGATAATTGTGAACAACAAAAATATTAAGGTATCAAAACAATCAAAATGTAAGAAAGAAAATTAAACAAATAAGTAAAGATTTTATGCTTTTCAACAAAATTTGCGTAATGGGTACTGGACAATAAGCGTTTTGTTTACATTAAATAAAATCAAAAGTAAAATTTTTTAACAATCATTCAAATGCCAGTCCATCAAACCCCATACATTTCCATGTTCTCAGCGAGCTGTAGTACAGTCACGCGCGAAATGTCCCGTCTCTCCGCATGAATAACACTCTATAAAATAAAAATGAATTAAAGTTTATGGTAAACTCTTACTGGAGCCACCACTTCCTCCACCGCCACGTCCACCGTCGCCGCCATCTGGACATTCACGAGCAAAATGACCAGCCTTTCCGCAACTGAAGCAGCTGCCACCTAGAAAGAGCATATATCAAATTTCAAATATACAACAGTATAAAACCCTCACCTCCGCCGCCTCCTCGACCTCCGCCACCAGAACGACCAACACGATCTGGACAATCGCGAACAAAATGCCCAGTCTGGCCACATTCATGACATTCTGAATATAGAACTTTATAAATTTCAAAGGGTTTCAACAGAATACCACGTCCACGGCCACCACCGCCGCCTCCACCACCACCAGAGCGATCCGGACAGTTACGGGAGATGTGACCAGATTGACCACAGTTGTAGCACGCTCAAATAAAAGAATCTTTGAAATATATAATTAAAAATACTTACAACGATCAGACATTGTTAAAATAAATCGCAAAGAGAAAAGTAAATAAAACTTTTGTTTTTGGAAAAATCTAAAAGATTAACGGAAGAAACACTAATAATTAATAATTAAAAATCAAAAAAAGAAAAACAATAAAACCTAAAAGTTATCTAAAAATGAGAAAAATGAGCTTTACTCGGGCTTAAATAGTAAGATAACGCATACAAATACATAATGCCAAAATTACTTAAAATTAGCACAATTTAAATTTTGCAACTCTGACCCAAATTTATTTATTTCGAAAAATCCAACGGCCCGGTTTCGAAACAATATTTTTACTTTTTCTGTAGTCCAGTTTAATCAACATTTGTATAATTAAATTTTATCTCCATTAGTAATTGGACATATAAAATTTACAATAGCTCTTTGCGTTTATCTTTGCTTAAATTAAACTTACTTTCAAGATTTTTATTCCTCATACATATTTTTAAGGTCTAAACTATTTGAATTATATCTCAATTATGTCTGTACAAGCCCTACTTAGCGAAGTTCGTCCAAATATGGAAATTTTCCAGGTTTGAATTTTGTTTTTAATATGTTTTGACAATCAATTTAAGGCAATTAAAGCGGCTGACCAACTTTTTTACAAAGACAGAGTTCATTATGTGGATCTTAAACCTATTTTTACTTCTAAAAAGGAAGGAAAAATTGAAGGAATCGTTCAAGCTGACAATGAGCACAAGGATAACTTGACGAAACCAGACAAAAAATCTGTTGGAAATGTTCAAGGTATATTTTGGTACTTTCCTGTTATCTGCCCACATTTTTATTTTCTTTTTCCCCTCTCTATTTTTTCTTAATCTGTACATAATGGTCAACCTTTCTTCCTTCTTCAAGTTCACTCCGTTCCCCTGTGGCATATTCAAATGCGAGTCAGAAAATACTAACAAAAACCAAAAATAACTTTTTTTGAACCAAATTGTCGTGTCATGAACCTTACTCTATGATGATTAGACACAGCACATTGTGTTAGACTTACGGTCCTGTATTAAATTACTATTACTATGGTTGTAAAATTTTGGTTTTTATATTTCCCCACGTGTCATTCTTGTGTTGAAGTTTTTACGGGATTCGTCTCTGACTCGCATTTGAATATGCCACAGGAGAACGGAGTGAAATTGAAGAAGGAAGAAAGGTTGACCATTATGTACAGATTAAGAAAAAATAAGAAAGGAAAAAAAGAAAATAAAAATGTGGGCAGATAACAGGAAAGTACCTATATTTTTTAAGTTTTGAGTTATTTGATGATTCTAAATAATAATAGGATTTTTTAGTTTTTATCTGACAATTGTCGTTTCTTGTTTTTAGCAAAGGAAAGCGGCAAGAAAGAGAAGGTAAAAGTCAAAACTGCAATGGACAAAATAGAAAATGGGAATGTTAAGAAAGAAAAAATTGATGTTCAGAATGTTAAAAAGGAAAAGGCTGACATCCAAATTGCTAAAAAGCAAAAAGAAAACTTTTCTGCCAATTCTGGAAATGCCACAAGTAAACTCCAACAAGTCATCCATCAGGCCCAAAAGACTATTGAAAAGGCTCTTAACACTGGAAGCAATTCTTCTGTTTCGATTATGGAGCCTCCTAGTTCTGCGACTGATGAGCTGAAACGTTTGCGTACGGAGAATGCTGTTCTCTGCAAAAAATTGGAAATCCAGGAGAAAACAATTAATAGATTGGAGAAAATAACTCAAAAAGTATTTTATTTTAGTCCAAATTTCTTTATCATTTTGGATTTTTTCAGTTGCTTCAAAAGTCTGGTATGACGGAGGCTGATCTTTCTGATTGAGATGGATCCTATTAAAATCTAGAAGAATATGTTGAGAAATTATATTGAGTACGTAATTTAGTATATAAATGGGTAATTATTAAATATTTGTTTTTTTGCGGAATTCTGCGAGTTCACAGAAACCTAAACAAAAGATAAATTCTGAAAAATCTAATTCTTGAAAAAATTGCTTTAAATATTAAAAATAGAAGGGACTGACGAAGGGACCGACCTTATTCAGAAAAATCGAAAATATAACTAAAATTGTTCTGTAATTTTTGTCCGCAAAAAACACAATAATTGTCCAAACATATTACCCATAATTTTACTACGGGCTTGTGACGACATTTATTCAAGTGAGGATTGTGTTTTTTTTCCTATTTAAATATAATAGAAAAATTCATTGTTGTATGAGAGGTTTATTTTAAAAATTTTATTTTTTGGTTTGATTTTCGATTAATTTCATACAATTTTGAATTTTTTAAAAATTAAATTGTAGCTCTAATATATATTGATCGTCATCTTTTTTTCGCCATCTAAATCCAATAAGATTATTTTTGTACTCAAATAAATATTGTTTATTATAGTTGTGTTCTATTTTAATTGTTAGTTAACGAAAAATTGGTTTAATATGTCTTTAATGCCGGTAATTTGTTTTTAATAAACTGAATAAATTTAAAGCTTTTTGTTGATTTTTTTCTTTTAATGTTTTGCTCATTTATATTTTTTTGTTTTTTGCAATGTAATTTTAATTTTTATATGAATTATATAGATGGGACCTTGGAGAGCATGTCTTGGAAAAATTGGAAGGCCCGAAGCGATAAAACTTTACAAAGTGAAGTAAGTAAATTAAAAATTTTGCAAGGGAAAATTTTATATGGGATTAGATTAGGGTTCTTATCTCGAACTTTTATAAGTCCGCAATTTTAGTCTAAAAAATCCTCATTTTTCCGCAAATCGCATTTTTAAAAATAATTCTCATCACCTATCAAAAAATCACAAAATTAGGAAAAATCAGCTCATCTAAGAAACCTGAATGATTAGACTGATAGCGGGGACGTAGCTAGAGAGTCCTTATCCATGATATTTTAAAATGAAACCATTTTTAGATTAATGAGACCCGATGGAAGTGTTATTTTTGCACGGTCTGCAGAACCCCGAGTTCTTATTCAACTCCCAATTGATCTGCGAACCGCTGATGAATATGAAAGAAGAATTCGTATTGCTGAACGAAGGCCGATGGTTAAACGTGAATTTGAGGTTTTTATTTTCAATAGGGAAAAACGGAAATATTTTTCTTTAGGATCTTGGCGAGGATACTTTTAGTCATCAAAAATATACTACACAATGGAAGCGTTGATAGATGAATATTTTTTGTTTTTTTCAAATAAATTTTATTTTATTCTTTATTTTTTACTCTTATTTTTTGTTTAAATCAGCAAATAATTATTTTAAACAAATTTTTTGAACGTTCAAGATTAATATAATTTAAAAGGAAAAATGCAGGCAGATGATATTGTTTGGAATCAATTAAATAATGGACATTGCTCTTTTAAGATAGTGTAGGTTTTTTCTTAAATAATTTAAATATAACTAATTTCATGTCAGTACAAAATCAAAAAAGTTTTGTCGGAACGAGTACAACCTTACTGGAATTTGTAATAAAGCTTCTTGTCCTTTGGCTAATAGTCAATATGCTACTGTTAGGGAAGAGAAAGGTTTAAATTAATTTTTTGGTTTTTAAAAAGGTTGTTAGGGTTTGTCTTAAGGCTTGTTTAGGTCTATTGTCTTATTCACAAAAATTTAATTTGCAACCTAATCTTACGGATTTTTCCAATTAAAAAGTCAAAATAGTGGCGGGATTTTTACCTTGTTCACATTGAAAATAAGGTTTGTCCCAGTCCTCCTCCGTGGCGAAGGAAAAAATATAAAATACTCGAATGATAAGCTAATAAAATAACGATTTACTATTTTAAGAATTTTCAAAAATATTTTTTAGGTGTTTGCTATTTATATATGAAGGTAATTGAACGAAGTCATTTCCCTGCTCGTTTATGGGAAAAAGTCAAATTAAATAGAAATATGGTCAAAGCTGTTGAACAAATAAATGTTAATTTATTACATTGGAGTGATTATATTCGACAAAAATGTAAAGCTAGGGTAATTAGAATTCATCAATATTTGGCAAGGATGAGGAAAATGAAATTAAGAGGAAGACAGCCAAAGATTATTCCAATTCAGGTTAAAATATATCTTTTTAATTTTCAAAACTAATAAGTACTAGGTCGTTTCATAAAACTCTCTTGTCATGGGGAATGGAGAAATTAGATATGTTGAAACGAAAATTCCAACTCTTGAATTGTTTGAATCGGCCCAAAAGCCTGCGGGAATTTTCAGAAACCTTTTCCGAACATGAACAACATTTTTTAAATTTGTCCCAGTTGCCTGAATCACCCGAGGTTGTTAAAATGTCTCTGAAAATTAACATCCCTCCTTGATGTTGAATCGTCGATTTTAGGGTATCATAGTGTATGGGAGTCCTCTAACATTGATCAAGAATATCCTTTAATTTTCACTTAATCTTTAGAGAAAAATCGAACGGAGAGAGAAGCGAAGAGAAGAAAAGGCTTTAATTGCTGCAAAACTTGACAATGCTATAGAAAGGGAATTACTTGAAAGATTAAAGAAAGGAAATTATGGAGAAATGTATAAATTTAGTCAAAAAGCAATTGACAAAACTGTTGATAGAATGAGAGAAGATGAAGAGGAGGACGAGGAAGAAGTTGAATATGAAATGGAGCAAGAAGATCAACGCCAATTTGTTGAGGATTTTGAAGAATCTGAAGAGGAGGAGGAACAGGATATTGAAGATATTTAATTTTGTTTGTTGGAAGTTTTCAATTGTTTATTTAAAATAAAAATTTTATTTAAATTTAAAAAAAAGTATTCTAATAATAAGGCAATATTTAAATAGGTAAATGTCATCACAGAAATTATTTAATGGCAAAAATTAAATATTATAAGGCAAGGAAGTTTTCTTACAAAGTATTTAATTAGTGCACTTCTAATTGAACTTCTATTTCTGATTTTTTGTGAAAGGATTTTTAGTTATTTTCGATCAAAAATGTTTATGTAAAATAGAAATTCAATTGTTTGAGTTTTTATAAGTATGGGAGTTGGATAAAAATAAGGTAATCTTATTAAACACAAAAATTTTTAGGTTTGATCTGTTCAAAAATACTCAACTCGGCCAATTTCTATCCAATCCCTAACAAATAAAAATGTTCTATTATATTACAGCCGGACAAAATTTAAAAATATATAAAAAATCATAAATATTAAGTAAGTAAAATAAAAATAATTAAAAATCATAAGCCACTCGCAATTCTAAAAGAATACCTTCCATTTTATTTGAAAAGAAACGAAAGAGAGGACGTAAATCGCCAGAAATCGCGCATAGAATAGCTTCGTAAACCAAATTGTTAGTTTCATTAGGAGAAAATAAGGAAGGAAGTGAATATAAATTTAATAAAATATTTCCAAGTAGACAAGCAGTTTGATTTGTCCCTTCTTTAAATGGTTGTATATATTGCTAAAAAGGAAGAGAATTAAAACTGATATAAATTTAAGAGAAATATATATATATGCGAAACCTGGCTAACTGAAAAAATATCTAACCAATCCGTCACCACTTCTGATAATTATAACTTTTTAAGAGTAGATAGATTAAAAGGTAGAGGAGGAGGCGTAGGCGTACTTTATAATAAGGATTTGAAAATTATAGATGTTCCAACACTTTCAATCTCCGAATATAATCATGAGCTTCTAACTCTTGATATATACTCAGAGTTTAAAAGAATTAGATTCCATCTAATATATAGACCACCTAATACAAAATTAGCCGACGATAAAAAATTTTGGGGGATAATAAAGAAAAAATACAAAAACGAACTCTCAAATATTATATTAGGGGACCTAAACTTCCCAAAAATAGATTGGTTGGAGTTTGCACTCCCAAAAGATAAGAAGAACTTATACTTTTATAATACCATAACTAAACTAAATTTAAATCAGATAATTAAGGAGGCCACAATGTACAATAATTCCCACATTCTAGATTTAATTCTCCAAAATAAGCAATTAATCGAAAAATATAATATTATAGATGATTTAGTTGTGAGTGACCACAAACCCATAGTATTTGAAGTAGTTTTTCCAATTGATAAAATAACATCTAAAAATAAAAGAAAAGTTGTATCATTTAAAAAGGGGAAATATAAGATAATCAATTGGTATTTAGCTCAATATGACTGGTTCACTATATTTAAAGACAAAAATCCCTCAGAAATGGCTGAAATACTTAATTCAGTAATAACCCAAACAATCCAAAAATTCATCCCATTAAAAAAATTTGGCGAAAAAATACCCATGAAATATCCCAAAGAAATTCGAGAAACCATCAAACAAAAGGCTGTTTCATGGAAAAAGCTAAAATTAGGTGAGATAAGTAAGGATAATTATAAAAGTCTTGAAATAAAATGTAAATTACAAATAGAAAAATATAAAAACAATTATCTGTCAAAAAGGATAGGATCTGGGCATATAGGGGAAATACATAAATTAATGAAAAAAAATCGATATAACTTTTCTGGTATACCAATACTTAAGCAATCTGAGGAAAGCGACCCGATAATATCTGACACAGAGAAAGCTAATATATTTAGAAATATTTTTGAAGAAATAGTTAATGGAGATATAAACAATAAGCAAATAAGCCTCGAAGATGATTGTGGGGATGAATACCGGGAAGAAATTATTTTTGAACCATATATAATAGAAAAATTGCTTAAGAAGCTTCCAAATAAATTATCTCATAGCCCTGAGAGTAGCAATCAATATTTCTTAAAAAAATGTTCAACCCCATTAGCCCTTCCCTTATCAATTTTATATAACAATACATTTAAGACAGGAATAGTCCCTGAATTATGGAGAACGGCACACATTCTACCTATATTTAAAAA